TTTACTTTTAAAAAAAACTTTTGCTGAAAATTTATGTCATCCAGATGAAAAATTAAGGTTTTTGATGAAAACATTCCAGGATTTTTCTAATGCACTTTACTGTTCGTGACTCTCCTGTCTTTTTCCGAGTCATTTGGTTCGTTGAACGAACCAAATGACTCTAAAATAAGATTCGTTCATTTTGATAAACGAGTTCGAACAGGAGAGTCACGAACGCGCATCACAGAACAGAGCAAGGTGACCATTTGAGCTTATAAGACCCTTATCCATCGTCTGGAATCGTTTAAAGCCCTTTGAACAGTTTGTAGTTTGCACTGAAACTGTCTTTTGGACCTTGAACCGTTTGGTTCCCAATGAAGTCCATTATATGGAGAAAAAACCTGCATGTTTTCATCAAAAACCTTAATTTCTTTTCGACTGAAGAAAGAAAGACATGGACATCTTGGATGACATGGGGGGAGGAAATTATCAGCAAAAGTTTTTTAAAAGCGAACTACTCCTTTAGTTGCTTTTATGTGATAATGTGAATTTGATGCTTCCGATTTGATTGGTTCATCAAAAATGGCTTGTGATATTATTGGTTAATGTTATTTTTCATGGACCCTTGATAACTACAAAAAATAAGGATTTTGTATTATAATATAGCCTATATAATTGTTTTTTTTTATCTTTGTCTCACTATATCAGTAGGCAATGAGCTTGATACTTGGTCAGCTTTGCTAGCAGTTGCAGTGCATGAAACCCTCCACCTTCCCCAGCTCAACCTGTGTAGATATGGATAATTCATATACGCTGTATGTATATTTTGGCAGTTGCAAATCCCCTACTTGCTAATAACAACAGCATCAGTATAACAGATATATTCTACCAAGGCCAAACATATCAACATTATTATATCCATTACCATGCCAAACACTTGGACAAAAACATATATTTATTAATAAAGTAAATGGAGGCTTTTTTGGTTTGTCGTTATAGTGTCATCAATTAGCAGCAAGTCTTCGGATGACTGACAATCAGCAGCGAGAAGTCAGCTTTGACGTGCAGTTTTAGTTTGCGTTTTGTCATTGTAAACATCGCGGGTGACATCTGGAACAGGTTTCAGCCCTGTAGTCTGTGCTTCCCTGGGAGAGGGTTAGGATCAAAGCATCCGGATGATGTTTTCTCTCTTGTGAAGTAGCTTGAAGCGGTCAGGGGAAAGCTCTAGGAGAGGACGAGCTATCAGAGTCCTAATACTCAGACACTGATGTCTTGATGCGGGTTTGGGCTGAAAACATTTGCAGACACAACTTTATAGAGCTTTTTAACAGCCTGTCGTAAAGATTTTGTTTACCCCTCTGTTTGGAGAGCTGGTGGTAAAATCCAGCCTATGATGGGAATTTTTTGGGGGGATGGTTAGATTGCGGGTAGATGCGGGGTACACATATTGCTGTTATCATTATTATTGACACATATAGTGCAGTGTGGTGGTGCAATTATGTTTTCTAGTACTAATAGATTTTGCATCAAATTTCAGCCCCATATCTTTCAACCATGAAACATTTTGGTTAAAACAATATTTTGTATGAGAAAAATTATGTTTTTTTTTCCCCCAATAGTGGTGTGTGATTTATTAATTTTATAATAATAAATAAATAAATAAACTTTTTTTTGATAAATACTATTTATTCACTTTTTATATAAATTCCAAATATTATTTATTGGTACAAAGTTGTATTAAAATTTGCAAGTTTGGAATCACTATGAAATGTTTATGTTTTTGTAAAGAAGTTTTTTTTTTTTTTTTCAATAAATTATCAAATTATCAGCATGTGAATTCCAACCTTTCTATAATGGGGTTGAAATAATTGTTTATAATTAATAATTAATTTATAATAATTATTAATTTAACAATTATTAATTGATTTATAATGCATGCAAAGTACACTAAAAAAATAGTATGTTGGCTTTACTTAATTTTATTTTTTTTCGTCAACAGGTTCCACATAACTGGATTTCATTAAACAAACATAATTTATTCATGTAACTTCAACATCATGGAATTAAGTCATTTTAAGTGACCCAATTTAAGTAGTCTCAACATCAATTTTTAAAGGCTTCCTGGCATGATTCAGGTATTATTTTATACTCATTCGTCTATTTATATTTCATTTATTTCAGTGACACACTATTAAATTGATGGACTATAGCTAGCTATTTGCTAGAAGTAGCACATGTTAACATACTTAACAATCAGAATGAATTAAATGAAACTTGAAAACATTTTCAAATGGTACAAAAGGTAAAGAAATCTCAGTTTTATAGGTTATACAAGAGTCCAAATAAGATATCACTATAAACTACAGTAAATGTGTGCTAGATATCAGCCAAGCAGTTTAAGTGAATAATTTTCCTCTAAGTTTTGTTGAAGTTACCCTACAAAGGTTTTGATGGTTTTGGGCTTGAATGCACGCATCAACATTTCATAAATGACCAACACTCACTTTAATGACGCAGTGTGTCGTAGAGAATTGAGACGGCTTGGCTTGTTACCTGCTGATTTGACACTCAACCCCCCGTGAAGTTTGTTTATGAGCGCTAGAGCAAAAAAAGCAAGACTGCAGCCTTGTCAACACAATATACTGACAAAAGCCAGTTTCAGATGGCGGGAAAACACGTGTTTGTTTGTGATAGCGAGACACTCTCAGTCAAAAGCTCAGCATGAAACGCATTGATAAGAATAGTTTTTGCCTAAAATAGCTTTTGAGAAGTTAGCATTAAATAGGCCTCTGTAGATCTGAACTTAATCTGACAGGAAATAAGAATCATTAATTGTATGTCAATGTCATTTCAATTTCATCTTTTTTAAATCAAATTTCAATACTTTTATGCATGCTTTGAAAATACAAAGAAACCTGAAATTCGTGCTGCCAACTCAGGCAGTCATTTGCTTTCCAAGGGAAAACTGGAAAGTGTGGAAAGGATGAACATTTTAATAAGAGACCTTTGAAGTTGTATTTCCGAGTGACAGGTTTCCTAAACTGCCACCTTTATGCGACAGCATGACCTTTTTAAAACATGAAAGATCCTGATTTAGCACATGCATTATTCCAGAAGTTTTTATTTTTTTTTAAAAAAAGTACAAGTCCTACTTATGTTTTTCACATTTAAGCTGAAGAAGTTTGTAGTTCATTTTCTGATTGAATGCCTAGTCTAGATAATTCATTTTCTAAGGTGAGTAGGGTCTTCATTGTCACATATTTAGAAAACATCATTATCATTAATGAACAGATGCACAAGAGCACTATTAAGCATTGCATTAGAGATGAATAATTACCTGAAATAAATAAGTCTGAAGTAAATAAATAAGAATGAACCTCATTGGTTCTTGCTGAAGCTCAAACATGCTGCGTAACACGAGAATGAACCTCATTGGTTCTTGTAAAGCTCAAACGCGCTGCGTAACAAGAGAATGAACCTCATTGGCTCTTACTGAAGCTCAAACGTGCTGCGTAACACTGATCCTTGATGAATGTTTATGTGAGTAAAAGCCTAATCATGCCTCTTAAAGTGATACTCCACTTTTTTTGGAAATAGTCTCATTTTACCAGTCCCCGCAGAGTTAAACAGTTGGGTTTTACCGTTTTCGAATGTATTCAGTCGATTTTTTGATATTTAGAAGAATATCATTAAACAGATAGTTTCTGGTCTCATTGACTGCATAGTATATTTTTTCCTACTATGGAAGTCAATGAGACCAGAAACTGTCTGGTTACTGATATTCTACTAAATATCAGAAAATCGTCTGAATGGATTCGAAAACGGTAAAACTCAACTGTTTAACTCTAGGTAAGTTGTAAAATGAGCCTATTTCCCAAAAAAGTGGAGTATCCCTTTAAGAAAATTAGGACTAAACCAGTCAATTCATTGTTTTGCGATCTATTTATGGACGTTTTGAAGCATCAAATGGTAGTTGTCTGGTAGTGAAAAAAAATGGACCGTTAAAGGCTCCTCTCAAGTAAAGTCTAGAAGCTTTTTCCATCCCAGGCAGATGATCTGTGAAAACTTCTCTCATGATGGTAAAAGATTTCAGACTGATCCTTGATCACAACTTCTGGGGATCTTCTATTCAAAGCTGCAGCTCAAAGGAAAATCCCTTCTCAGAGATGCACATCAATTGTGAAGAGGGTCTAAAGGCCCTTCCTTGGCATGTGGTTTGAACTTTAATCCAACAGCTTGAAGGCGAATGAGACCCAAAGACCTTCACTAAAGCCAGTTCATGACAGGGACCTCGACTTCTGCTCTCAGCCACACTGTAGGCATTAGAAGCGGATATAAGTGCTAAAACTTCAGCCTCAGGCAGCGCAACCATCTTACCCTCTTCCAGGTGGCATCCGAGTCGCTCTGTGCCAACGGATTGAGATGGATATATTTGGCCAGTCAGGAATTGGTTTGGGGAATTACAATCCCAGAGAGGTGCAATTAAATGGTAACCCTTTAAATGTGAATATGATTTATTTGAATATTCAGATCGTCTTTTAGTTATTTTACAGGTCTGTGAATTGGCTTTAGGTATATCAAACATTAAAAGAGGTCATGGGGTCTTTGAAGACCTTCTACATGTTAGCATTCAAAAATTGTTCCCACATCAGCTTGACGTCAAATATAGATTTATCTGTCCATTAAAAGCATTTACTGACCTTTTTTTATGTTAATCCATTCTTTTTTTCTTTAAGCACCATATTTTCATCTATGCTAATGATAAAAATACTTTGTCAAGTACTAGATTTACACATTTCTATTACTTTTTTCTTGCTATATTGGGGTAACAGGACAGTGGGAGAAAGACTGACCTACTTAGCAGCAGATTAATGTTTTATGGTTTGAGGACTCTTATTATGAAGGCTGTCATATAATTTATTTATAATTTGAGTTTCCTGTTTTCTGTTTTTTTCCTAATTGGTTGTCATGTGGCTTTTTAGCTGTAGCACAAATGGGCATGTGCTTGTTCTTGTGTTGTTTTGTAATCCAATATTTTCTATGGATTTGATGTGGTTTCGTGCTGGAGTTTGGTTACACTTGTTTTGTATGGAGAACTTAGTATTGTGGTTTGTTTGCGTCTGACTTGCTGTACTTTACATGTGGAAAAAGGAGAGGAATGGGATCATGATGAAGGATGCATGGATTTGGACTTCCTGAGTACTTTGAAAATATTATGTTAGGTAAGCTTAATTACAGTATTATCTTCCTATTCAATAGAGTTTCCATATTCATATTCAACTATAGGCCCAAATATATGAGATTACATGCTTAATATAAAAATGCTATTGAATTTTTTTTGTTGAATTAGCAGCAGAAGTACAGGTATGTGTAGGATAGCATATATTGTATATACAATAAACATTAACTTTTAAAACAATAAATACAAATGTTTTATACCATTACTGAAAAAAAACATTATTTATTTTGCTATACGCTGTAAGATAAGAAAATACTATTAAAGACTTTCAATTCAAAAGTTCCGCTTTTAAATTCTTTACTTGCTTTTTCTTTGTAATTATTTGTGAAGTTTACTAGCAATTTCTACGGAAGCCCTGAACCGCAAAGTAAAAATAAATAAATAAATAAAAAAATAATCTGTAAAAAAAAAAAAAAAAAAAAAAATATCTAGAATTTCGAGATTAAAGTCGAAACATTTCAACTTAAATCTCGAAATACTATATGTTTTTTTTTACAGATTTTTTTTTTGTTTTTTACGTTGTGGTTCAGGGCTTCTGTAGGGTTTACCCGCATCGCCACCGTGTACGCCATCAAACTACATTTACACAAAGACGTATAAAAAAACGTAAAATAAAATAAAAAAAAAATAGCATTTCGAGATTAAAGTCAAAACCTTTCGAGATTAAAGTCGAAACAACCATTTTTTCAGCGTATATTGTTGTGGTATATTATTTGCATTCGTTGTTTTTTTTTTTTTTTCTGTTGTAACCCATCAGGTCAAAAGCATTGAACTAGATATTATCAAATTCTTTGTAGACCTTTAAAAAGTTATTCTGTAAAAAACCCCTTTCTCTTCTAATGGGAAGCATATTTAACAGTGAATTCTTGAATATGCCCCCCTGGAAAAAGCTATTTCGCCCATTTTTAATGTGGATATAATCATCTTTTCTCCATTTCAGCTTCATTAAATTACCTTTCTCTGAGGTTTTCAGTGATTTTGGTGAGTGTGTTTCACTAAAGACTCCCTGTACTGTAAGTGTCCTCCTACTCTCAGTTAATTGAGGGCTTTTGGCTATAGAAGTGCCCCCTTCACTCTTTCAAGACAGCTGACTGTTTACACGCACACACACAAGGCAAAAATGGTCCAAGACTCCTCTTACTGCCCATAAATTAAGTACAATATATTGTGCGCAAGGAAACTTCCTTAGTCTTGGGAGGAATACATGCCAACATCAGGAGCAGAGTGTTCAAACTGGACAAAACTTTCCGATGGGATCCCCGTGGAAAAACGCGCAACTGTGAGACATGGAAGTTTTAAAAGTGTTTTTAAAGTCATCCATCTGCATCTGGTGCTTGTGTTTGCTTCCTCTGAGGTTACTTGCGCAGCTGGGTAAGTCAAAAACATGCTTTGATTCAATACTAGCGATGCCTTAATGCATGTGCGCACGTTTAAGACGATTGTTTCTGTGTGGCGCAGCAGATTGCGCTATCGGTGGAAATAACGTGACTATATTTAAAGTTTTAGCGGTTGCACGTGGAACTTTTAAAGCGTTGCGTTTTGAAATGCAATGCGCGTTTATTCAAGAACTTACCATATTCCCATGGTCATTTCAAAAGATTCCCAAACATCGTGCACGTAATATGTATTATTATTACAATTTCAATTGTTTTATATCAATATGTATAGGCTAATTTAACTATTTTATGTTATTTTTGTATTATTGCATTGATTTGTTTATATATACTCTCTTATTGTAGATATTTACAGTATTTTATTTATAAGTAGGATAACGCTTTGGGTTAAATTTAGTTTGTTTTTTTATTATTTATTTATTTATTTTTTGTTATTAACCAGGTAACAGGTCTTTTATTTATTTTCAACTGCGTTCGTTAATTTGATAATTTATATGACATCCGTATTGTTGTTTATTTTTTATTTATTTATTAAGCAGGCTATTTTACTTCCTAACATGTTTAAAACATTGTTATTTTTGTGCATAAGATTTTTGTCTGGCTGCGTCAGGAAATAAATGTGTTTTCAATCCAAAGACATTGTTTCCATTAGTGCTCAATATCCCGGTTCCCCAGGGGGATTGAGCATCTGTTTGAAATCTGAGCGAAACTTTGCTTTAACTGCGCACTGACATTCATTTGCGCACCAAATGGAGAATCAGTCTGCGCAGTTCGGATAGAATTAACGTGCTCTGTGGAGAAAGCACGGTCTCTCTCTCTCTCGCTCTCTCTCTCTCTCTCTCTCTCTCTCATCTCTCTCTCTCTCTCTCTCTCTCTCTCTCTCTCTCTCTCTCTCTCTCTCTCTCTCTCTCTCTCTCTCTCTCTCTCTGTCTGTGCAGATGTTTTGAGCAGTCATTAGAGCAGTCAGTAGGTGAGTATTACGCCTCAGGGATGCAGTAATTGTGGGAATGTGATCCTCAAGATTGTGGGGTCAAACGGATTAGTGAGGTTGTGATATCACTGTCCTTTTATCATGCCTCAGTGCCATTACAGGTTATAGAACTGTGTTATTGCAGTCATTCACGCAGTCATTCGCAACTTGCCTGCATATTATCAATTTAATTTGTAATTATTTAAATTGCAAGATATATTTACTTGACGAACGCTTCAAGTATTTCATTTTATTTATAGATTTAGAGACCGTCAAAATACGACTACATTAACATTTTCTAAAAACATTGTTCATCCAATTTTGTAAAAAAAAAATAAATGTCTGTCCATCCCATACCTTCTCAGACAACGAGGGGCACTGTTAGCGAACATCCCGATGCTGCAACACACTGTCTGTAAATATGTGCTTTCTTCTCAGTAACAATATGAATACACAGCAAATCTGGTTGAGGTGAGAAAACAGAGTTAAAGAAAGCATCAGATCGTAGCGATGTGGATGTTTGCACAACATCTGCAGTGCGGCATTCCAGCCTATCCTCATCCCAAGGCCTCATATATGACGCTTTTGCCAAAGCGTAGACATCCAACGCACATGGCACCCTTTAGCGTCAAATGAGACACAGATGTATATGGGGCAGAAGGCGCCTCCTAGTGGTCTAACCCTAACCCTACCCCATACATAAACCTACCATAACTGAATTGTCTCATTTGACGCTAAAAGTTGCCATGTGTGTTGGATGTCTATGCTTTGGCAAAAGTGTCGTATATGACGCCTTGGGATGAGGGCATTCCAGTCAGTCACTTGGCACTATTGCTTTAAATCAAGTAGCTTTATAGTGTAAAACATGAAGTATCGCTTTCGATTAAAATTCTTACAACTTCAGTTTCTACTATAAAGCAGCTTTCCAGTGTGTTTATGCTGAACAGAAGAAATGAACTGGAGAACTTTTCCGTGTCAAAGAATGCAGAGCCTCACAGTTGCGAGTTTACATCTCGCAATTCTGAATTTATTTCTCTGAATTGCGAGATATAAAGTTGCAATTGCATGTTATAAAGTCAGAACTGTGAGATATTACCTTGCATTTGCAAGATATGAACATGTAATTCTGCACAAAAAAAGTCAAAATTGCGAGTTTATTTCTCTCAATTGTGAGAAAAAAAGTCATAATTTTGAGTTAAAACGTCACAATTACCTTTTTTATGTCTTATTCTGTGGGTGGAAACAAGCTTCCATAGTTTCAAACTCCAGATGAAATTCGTTTCTGATTTTGTTCTAAATGACGTCACACCAGTTCGATTGTTTCTGTATATCAGGGCCTTATGTGTTGAGGTAAATATTTTTCCGTAAGTGTGATTTGAGAGTAGATAAGTTCGTTCATAGAGTTCGTAGATTCGTTTTTTAATTGCACGTCACTGGAACCAACATTATTGTAAGAAATGTCATTATACGTTTTTTTTTTTTTTTTGTGGTGGTGGTGGTGGTGAACTAACTACGGTACTTATTTCATAATCTTCAATTTGTCTGGAGTTTTGAGGATAAACAAAGCTGTACACAAGACATTTGACTAAATGTCTCAATTCTTGGTATCTCTTACTCAATGTACTCCCAGCGGTGTCCACTCGTCATATATCCTTGTCCGTGATATTTTTCCTGTGAATCATCAGCGTTGACTTTTCAGTCTTTATTAAATGTCTGACAGCTGTGTGTTTGGGTCATGGGATCTCATCCCTCACAAGCCTCAATCAACACAATGGGGTGAAAAAGGGATGTCTCTGAATCCTCAGGGTTTGGATGAAGTCCTGGCTGAGCGAGAGGAGGAAATGCATGAGTGCGTGTGCAACTGTGAAAGGCTTTCGCTTTAATATCAAGGACAGTTTACTGTGGTCACTGGTATTTCATAAACGTAACAGACCCAGACTTGCCAAACCATTTTTTGAATGAGAATTTCTCTCACTGGGGCTGGAGAGTGTGAATATCTGGAGCTGTTCCTCTCCTGCTGTGTAATCAGCTCTTCATTCAGCCGAGAGGCAGACTGTCACAACAGATAACTCACATTTACCAGCCCTGCACTCCTTTCACACACACACACACTGACTGAACTTGTGTGAAAGTTCTCCAGCTTTAGCAATCCTTAGACATGCTTGAAATAAAGATTATTTGCAGCTTGTTTGGCTCAGTAGGATCCTTCTTATTGAATTTTTTGCTCTATAGGAGTTGGGTTGAGTCTTGAGTTGGCTATATAGTGTTTGGCAGGTTATATCATGACTTTATATCTTTATGTAACTTTATATCTCACATTTGTTGATGGAAAAAAAAAAAATGAGATGGGAAGGGGGAAGTGATATTTAAAAGCTTTTGTATTCCCCGAGTAATTGATATTTTGCTCACAAAACTTTTACGATCTCTCAACGTTTCGAAACTTTTCGAGTGAACGCAAAACTGTGATGGAAATAATATGAAATGGCAGGGAAAAATTTACGTTTGCTGGCAAAATGTTTGCGTTCTCTTGAAACGTATGCTAGTACGTGTAAAACTGATATTTCGCTCGCAAAAGTTCCGCATTCTTTGTGTTTGCTCACAAAACTTTTACAATCTCTCAACGTTTCGAAACTTTTCGAGTGAACGCAAAACTGTGAGGTAAAAACTGTATTTTGGTCACACAAATTTTGCGTTCCCTTCAAGATACGTTACGTTTGCTCCCAACTTTTGCGTTCTCTCGAAACGTATGGTAGGAAGAGCAAAACTGGTAATGGAAATAATAAGAGATGGACAACAAAAAAAAAAATATTTCGTTCCCAAAAGAAACTTTACGTTTGCTAGCAAACATTTGTGTTCTCTTGAAACGTATATGCTAGCAAGCACAAAACTTATTTTTTTCGCTCCCAAAAGATTGCATTCCCCGAGAAACTTTGTATTTGCTCAAAAAACTTTTACAATCTCTCAAAATGTTTCAAACTTTTCGAGTGAATGCAAAACTGTGATGGAAATAATATGGAATGGGAGGAAAAACTGTATTTTGGTCACACAAATTTTGCGTTCCCTCCAAGATACTTTACGTTTGCGAACTTTTTCGCAAACGTACGTGGAAGACGTGGAAGAACTTTTGCGTTCTCGCGAAACGTAGGAAGAGCAAAACTGGTAATGGAAATAATATGAGATCGGCAACAAATATATATATATTATATATATATTTCATTCGCAAAAGTTGTGCATTCCCAAAAGAAACGTTACGTTTGCTGGCAAAACGTTTGTGTTCTCTTGAAACGTATACGCTAGCACAAAACGTATTTTTTCGCTGGCTAAAGTTTGCATTCCCCGAGAAATGTTGTATTTACTCAGAAAACTTTTACAATCTCTCAAAACGTTTCAAACTTTTCGAGTGAATGCAAAACTGTGATGGAAATAATATGAAATGTGAGGAAAAACTGTATTTTGGTCACAAAAATCGTGTAAGTGTCTGAAATGCACCCTGTCTCTAAGTCAACAAATTAACTGGGCCGTCTGAGGTGTTTACCCAGCAGCACTTGTCCCAGCTTTTGTTTGGGGGCTGAAAAAAACGACTGTTTGTGGAACCTTTGACCTTACAGAGCAAGATCTGACTGTGGTTGTCACCCTTGCAAGACCAGACAGATGCCAAATGTGCCTTGCTGTCTTAAATAGGTTAATTATGAGCTACTGACATAACCTTTTCTGTTCAGACGTAACACAGGACCTCTTCTCTGAGTTTTCGGTGTGATATATTTAAGGTTGAATAAAAGATTATATTTGATAATATTGCATGGTATATTTACTTCTACTCCTGTGATGTCAGTTTTCATGTTTGTGTAAGTCACTTTGCTGTGGTCATTATTATTATTATTTTTTCATCTTATTTTTATTTTATTTTACAGTTATGATGTCATTTTGCTATTGTTACAATTAAATAGTTTTACTTTATTTTAAGGATGTGTTGTCAATTTGCCGAATGTTTTTATTCTATTTCACGTTTGTGATGTTACTTTGGTGTGGTCACTTTCTATTTTGTTTTATTTTTCAATGTGATGTCACTTTGCTTTTTTTTTAATTTAAATGTATTTTTATTTGACTATAAAACACATCAAAACCAGTACAGTGAAGATTTCCTACATATGTCTTTCTGAATCTGTGAATGTTTGCTTGGGAAGTAAAGTGAGCAACCAGTAGCTGCTTTTACTTTCGTCGTGTCTTTAAGTCGGCCACCTTGAAACTCCATTACCTCCCCTTAAGAAGCGTCCTCTCAAATCATCCCTGTATCTCCCCACCAAACCATTATTAAGAATTTATAAAATGAACACTTAAATATATTTATCTTCTTCCTGCCCCATTACACCTCAGAGAGTAAAGCTTAGGACGTAATTGCAGAGTAATGGTCCTTGAATTAGGCTGGAAAGAGCAGGGCATTATGGACTCTAAACCAGCCGACGCATGATCTCATCAGCGCTTCAGTGGGGCAGAAAGACCTCTCGACCTGGCCTCGTCATCCCTCAGTAAAGCAGGCAGGATTAGAGGAGAGATTTTCTGCTCTTTTCCACACCGGTCAAAGGTCATCTGCCCTTATTCTTTATGAGGACTTTCAAATGGTTGGTGGAAACATGTTCCTTTGAACAAAGTCTGTCTTTGAGGCGCCACTGAGAGAAGAACTTAAAATAGATCTTCATATTTTCAAATGAAAATAGTTTTTTCTATTGCTTCCCTTCAACATTTTCTTTCCACAAAACGTAGCAAATGATAATACAATATTTTCTCCTTTTATATATGGTATGAATATGATTTATGCTTTTTTTATGATGTAATGGTGCCCAGCCATTATGATTTGGTATTTATTTTATTCTATTTATTTTATTTTAATTTAGTTTATTTTTTTTTTTTAATTCCTTGGTTAAAATTGTCCTGATGGTATATTTTTTCCAAACATATTTATTTTGTTTTGTTGTTTTTCTTTTTTTCCCCCCTTTATTCTGTTGCTTTGCTTTGATCTTTTTGTTCAGTAGTTTTGCTTTTATCTTTTTGTTTAGTAGTTTTGCTTTTATCTTTTTGTTTAGTAGTTTTGCTTTTATCTTTTTGTTTAGTAGCTTTGTTTTTTGTTTGGCTTCATTGACATTGTTTGTTACTTTTCTTTGCTTTGCTTCGCTTTTTTCTTTTGTTTTGTTTTGCTTTGCTGACAACTTTGTTTTGTTACTTGGCTTACATTATTACCAAGTGAAAGTCCTTTGTACTGTCTTCCCACTAGTCTGTTTTGTCTATGCTGTTACTTTGCTTACATTATTACCAAGTGAAAGTCTTTTGTACTGTCTTCCCACTAGTCTGTTTTGTCTATGCTGTTATCTGCCCTGTCTCAGCTTCCATTACACAATAGCAGAGATGACTTAGTCCAAACTTTCTATTAGCATGTTCAGGAGGAGCATTAAAGGATTACCATAGTGGCCTCAGGCATCCTTATACAAAAAGTGAGACAGTGGCTGTCGCTCTCCCTCCCTTGCGTAATTAGTCGAGATGGTGACATCTGATCCACTTGAGCTCTGAGATACCGGAAGAAGAAGGGTTTAGGTGTTACAGATGTGCTGTCTGAAGAAATGGCAAGGGATTAAAAAGGTTTTAGCCTGAAAGTCACACGTCTATTTTTGCCCTTCCGTTTTGCCGTGAGACCCGGACACACGTCGCCGATTTCTCCGACCTTTGCAGCGTAAAGTTATGAGCGAGGAAAAGGGGGTCAGATAAAGGTGTGTTATTTTTACCCTGGTTAAACGTCAGCCGTTGAGGAGGTCACGTTAACCCCCATTTGGGTTTTAATGAACCTGAGTGACGTTTTCAAGCCACTGTAATGACACAGTTTTCGACCTTCTGAGCGCTGACCTTGTCTTTGCCGAAAGGTTGTTTTAAACTCATTTATGAATATAAAAGGTTGTAATTCAGGGAAACAGGCCTTTGTTTGATGGTGTACTTGGTTCTCCCAGCTCCAGAATGCTATCCCGGTGGATACAGGACCTTGAGGAACCCATATCGTAGCGTTGACTTCGACTCTACTGAACTTCAGAACACAGCGATACAGGATCTGGTCTGTGACCATTCGCTGCCGCCCGGATGGTACCGGTTTTCCATAAACAACAAACCTGCGGAGATGCCGACCCGCTGTGTTGAGGTGAGCAGTCTCAGGTCAGTTCTGACCAGTTTCCAAATTGCAGTTTCTTGATCTCCATCTCTTTTTGTAGATGAACCGTTGTGGTACGCAGGCTCCGGTGTGGTTGTCTCTGAAGGACAGCTATCTTCCAAGGCCCGGAGAGGTCAAGCAGCTCTCGGCCTGTGCCACGTGGCAGTTCTTTCAGGGAAGCACTAAAGACTGCTGCCTTTTCCGCATCCCAATCTCGGTCCGGAACTGTGGCGAGTTCCTGCTGTACTTCCTTCAGCCGACACAAGGTTGCATGGGATACTGTGCAGAAGGTGACTCGTTTTCCCAATAGTTTACTAAAGGCGCTTTTCAACTACACAGTACCAGCTAGACTCGACTCGGCTTGCCTGTGTTTGGTTTTCCCCTGTGTAAACGTTGTACCTGTACCTGCTTTCGGGTACTTTTTTTGGTATCACCTCTGGCGAGGTTCTGAGCGAGCTGAGGTGATACTAAAATGTGACGTGAAAACAATGCCGACTGCTGATTGGCCAAAGTCGCCATTCACTGCGTCATCGTTGTATGTGCCAAATGGAGTATCCAGAGTAACCCAGCCATTTTTAAATAGTTTGGCCAGAGACAGTCACTAAAATTACAACTATTATTATGGCAACTCGGAAGAATGCGTCGTGGTCAAACGAGGAGGTGCAGACTTTCCTTTGTTTGGTTGCCGAAGAGAGGATCCAGCGAGAGCTTGATGGGGCAGCGTGGAACGAGAGGCGTCGCTATGACGACCGGGTACTATTTGTGGCGGTACTGTCTGCAATGAGTCGAGTTAAGCTGGTACTGGAAATGGAATAGCGTCGTAACACTATTTCAAAACTAATACCTAAAATAAATAACTTTATTTTAATATGGCGACTACGTGTCCAGGTCACATTTCATCGCAAAAATCTAAAGAAAAATTTAATTTGATTTATTTATTCAATAAGAGAAACAAACACACAAATAAATAATTGTTTTATCTTTTTCTATTTTTTTTTTCTATTTTTTTTTTTATAAAATGTAAAAGTATAAACAGTAATTGTAATGGATCTTCTGGCAAAAAAGGCATTAAAATTTTATTTGATAAAAAAGAAAATCCAATTTTTTTGGAAAATCAAATTATTTTATTTTATGTATTAAATAATGTTTTTTTTTTTTGTATAATAATGGAAGTAAAAATAAATAGGAAGTGATAAGACTAAATATTATTTTTATATCAATAAATTATTTTCATGACAAATTTCCCAAAGAAATTGTCATTACTTTTTAGGTTTACTTTTTTACATAACATTATTTCCAATGGCTATTTTTTAGTTGTTTTTTAAATACTTTTTGTATTAATATTAATTATTTCTTTTCGCTTTTATTTATTTATTAATCTAAATCAGCATAAATTGAAAGTACTATGGCATTACAACAAATAGAATCATGATTTTATTTTTCTCTCATTTCAATGAGAATAAAACATTTTTGCAATGAAAATGTGAGGTGAAAATATGTTATATAGTCATGAAAACAATGTCAAAATTGGAAAAATCGTAATGATCCTAAAAATGCATTCATGGTCATTGTGCAAAATATAATTTCTTTTCTTTTTCTTTTTTTGAAAAATGATTATGTACATTGCTTATGTACATGATTTGAATCGGTTTTAATGACATAATTTAGCTGTGATAGACTTTAAAACATACAGCAGATACTTGCACCAGTAGAAGAGAACAAGATGTTTCCTTGTTCAACAGCCCAGAGAGAAACCATTCCATTTCTAGTATGGATGATCAATATTTCTCTTTCTCTGGCCTTGTGTCCTTTCACATTCTCAAACATCTCTTCGATACAAATAAATGACTGTATCATCAACCGTGTGCAAGAGTATTCAGGTCATTTTTAGTTTGGGATCGATTTCTGGTGACTGAAGTTCTGCAGGGGAGAAAATCAGATTACTGAATTCATGTAGCAATATTTCACGGATTTAGGACAGTTCCATGGCTACTGGGGTTTGGGTTTTAAAGTTTTGGCAAAGGGATGAAAATGCATGTATCCATACTGTATGTGTATACTATTCGTCGCTGTCTTGCACCCAGGAGGTTGTCATATGCAAATATCAAAACGAGCATAAATGCTTTGTTTATAATGAGGATGTTATTAGCATCTCTTATATGTCAAAAGATAAGACAAAGCAATTATATAAATTATAAACGGGAAGTGAAACTGCTTTTTTTTTTTTTTTAGTTGCTTCACAATACACGCCTAAATCCTGTCCACCTGGTGAAACCGTAGTTAACGGTCTATGTAAGGGTAAGTTATTTTCAATGTTAGCAATTTTATTTTGATTTATTACATCTGTATAAACATTTTATCTCATGACCTTGTTCTCCTATGTGAAGCAAACGTCCCCTCACTACCTTCAAAACCCCTGGTGGCCCCAGAGCTGGTCGGCAGCAGCGTCCACCTCCGATGCTCCTTCGCTGGGGTGACGTCCATGTGGCCGGTGGGGTATCAGGTGGTGTGGGCCAGATACTCCTCCAACACCATGAAGGTGGAGATCAGACGAGACACAACGACTCGACTCTACTCGCTGGTTGAGATGGACGGAGTTCACTTTAGGCTGGGAGAAACGGTAAAAGAAATGATTTTTAACGTACAATTTAGTTTGGAAAGTCAAATTTTGCTTAGGATATATCTCGAAAATTAAAAGGGCTACACTGTTCAGTAAAGCACTCTAAAATGAATCCAGTGTTACACAATGATATTGTAGGCTGGGAAGCCCCGCCCACATTCAAATCTCATTGGCCCAAAATCCATGTGTGCAAATTAAATTAATCATAGTCAATATGTTCTGCACTGTTAGACCATACCAGGTTTTTTACAGTAAAATTGCACTAAAACTCAAGTTAACTAAAAAATACAACTTATTATTTTTAGTGCATTTTTACAGTAAATTACTGGCAACAGTGTTGCCAGTATTTTACTGTAAAAAACCTGGTAAGGTCTAACAGTGTGATTGACTATGATTTTGTTGCTTCAAGCTGCGTTTTCATTTTTAAGTTTTGGCAAGAGTTCATTTTCTGAATTAAATTTTAACGAAAAACTTACGAGTTACTTTAATGAAAAATTCACAAATGTTTTATGCGATTTTCCAATTTTGCAAATAAATGATTTCTTAACTTTGGATGGAAACATAGCTATTGGAAAGGTTTTATATGTAAACTGAACTGAAATCAAACAAACGTTTGCATGTTTTTTTTTTGTTTTGTTTTTTGTATGTTACATATTTTTCAGCAGTGGTAAAAATATAAGTGAATTGTGATGGTGGTTGAGGAGATTCCCTCAATTAGTTAAGATTAACTAATTAATTATTATTTAATAATTAACTGAATTGTGTAAGATTCAGAATTTAGGGCACATCTTGTGCGCCAGAGTCTTAAAACGGCATCACTGTCTTCCAGATTTATTTCCCCCTGTGGCGTAATGCGCTCCAGACAGCCGTTAAACACACTTCGTTCTCACCAGACCAAGAAAGGAAAAGGTCTTTTGTGAGGGCTGTCTTTAGTCATAATGCCCTTTGACCTCTCGTATGAGTGCAGAAAGTGTTCCAGCGGAAGTGAGATCAGGTCATGAACGAGTAAAGGTCAAATTGAGGCCACGTATACAAACCATAAATAACACTGAGGCCGAACGTTGTCTTGAACTTCGTTTTGATTTCATTCTGATTTGTTTGTTCTGATGTGAATTTCAAAGCAGATTTGAAGACAGAGTTTGAAATATGCTACCTGTGGTCATAAAAAATGTGTTTTTACATCATAGAGGCCCCAGTTTGAGAAACAGCATCATTCTGGTTTGGGCTGTGTGGTTTTCTTAAACATATGTCACAGCTGGGCTTAGTTAAACACACGCACACACACACACACACCTTGGGCTCTCCATAATTCCCATATACAGGCAAAACAGACCTGAAAATTCTTCAACACAAAAGGACATTCAAGCCATCATAGTTTGTTTCAGTGCCATATATGGCATGAAATGGCATGTAAGTGAATCAAATACATTGATAAATTATGAAACTAAAATATTTTTGATTTTTGGTCCATCTGTGTTGCTGTTATTTGGTTTTGTAAATAATTATTCCTTGTATTAATGGTTCCTTGTAAATTTTTTTTTTTTTACTTGAAATATATCCTTGCTACATTTTATTAATCTTTTTATTATTTTTAGTATTTTATATATAGCATACTTAATTTGATATATTAGATAGTTATGTATAATATTATTTATATATATATATATATATATATATATATATATATATTTAAATGTTTTATTTATTTAAAAAAATATTTATATATATATTTAATTTAAATGTTTTATATATATATATATATATATATATATATATATATATATAAAATTTAGAATATTTTTTTATTTTTTATTTTTGCTACAAAATATAGCCTTGCTAACATGGCATTAAAATAAATTAATATAATCATACATTTTTATACTATACTACATCCCCAAATATATAAATTGATGCATTTATATTATATATATATATATATATATATATATATGAAGAGTTCAGATGCAAAAGCCTCTAAGTGCCATTTGAAATTTTCTTCTAAAATGATAATTTTTATCAAGCTTGTATATTTAAGTTCAGTAATTTCACTTAAATGGCAATGAAGATTACCTGTTAATTGTCATTTAAGTGAAATTACTGAACTTAAATATGCAAGCTTGATAAAAAATTGTCATTTTAGAAGAAAGAGGCTTTTGCATCTGAACTCTTCATATATAAATTTAGAATATTTTTTTATTTTTGCTACAAATATAGCCTTGCTAACATGGCATTAAAATAAATTAATATAATCATACATTTTTATCATTTTTATTTTATACATATATTTGAATGCCATAATAGCTATACTACATCCCCAAATACATACATTGATACATTTGAATTATTTGAATTATTCATTTCATTATTAAAATGATTTATTTAAAAAAAAAATCCAGTAAAAGTAAATAATTATTGATTTCTATATTGGTAACGCTAAAGCGCATGATCTTCATGACAATCTGGTTTGATTGACAGTTCTCCTGCAGTGTGTCCACCTTCCTGTTAAACTCCTCCATCTCGCAGTCGGCGTCTAAAGAAAGCGCTGGGTTTTTCGCGGGAATTAAGGTAAATCCGGTTATATCTAATTCTTTATAATTATGATGGCTCATGCATCATGCACATCGCCTGAAGCCATAATTACTGGCTAAACACTCATTGAAACATTGCAAATATTATGTTGCATGACTATCAATGCTTAACAGAGCTGTGTTATCATGTTTGATTTACTCTGGATTCGGCCGACCGTCCAACACTTGTTTTGCAGTTTGTTCCAGATGTCCTCCACATCCGTGAGGATGCTACAAAGCACGTTTTGACCGTACACAGCACAGTCCCTATTCCCTGCCATGGTTTCCAGCACAACCACCCTTGCAAAGTGTCTCTTGCTCTCAGTGTACATGAATCAGGTGTGTGTTTCTTACTAATATTAGTGTGTTACATACATAAACGTGCTGTATGAAGGTAAAAGGCTTTGAAAGGGAGTGTGCGTGAATTATCCTTTCGCTCTCAAGAACATTTTGTCTTTGAGTTTTCCCTTTCAAATGAGGACGTATCTACTGATAATCTGTCTGAATGTCTCAGACAATGTAGTCGTGGAGGTTTCAAACGTGGCCTTATCATCCTGCTCGGTCGAGCTGATGTCTCAGCCCTGTCGAAACAACGTCTGTGCTCAGGGTACCGTGACTCTCACCGCTGTTACTGATTTCACCCGGGACGGGAACCGGGCCAGCTTCCTTTCCACTCAGCCTGCCGAAGGCAGCCCTCGCCTCTGGAGAGGTTACAACCCTCCTGCACTGAAGGTTAGCGAAACTTAAGCATGCATCTTAAAATGTAATATTAGTTGCTTGAGTGGTTTTGTACTTAATATGTTTAATTTAATAAGACAAAGTTCTCTTTGAAATGCCCTTCAGGACAATGAAGTGCTTGACATTACAATATATTTACATTGGTAATGTTTTCAAGGGGACTTTTCTTGCTCTTTTTACAACTTGACCCATGATGAACTCAGTTGTTGATTGTATGGATTGTCAGGATGTACAAATCACACAAAGAGAAAAAATAACGCTGAACAAACGTGGACAGGGTTATTCTTGCGACTGACCTTATTGCATATGCATTTGTAGGAGTTTCGCTTTCAGACGCAAAATTTATGGGAGGAAAGTATTTAAATTAATCCTGCTGAATCAGATGATTTACTGAGGTTTGTGCTCATCAATTTACTAGTATTTGAGCCAAGATTTTTGATGAAAACATTCCAGGAGTTTCTCCATATAATGGACTTCATTGGGAACCAAACGGTTCAAGGTCCAAATTAGAGTTTCATTGCAGCCTCACGGGGCTTTAAACGACACCAGACGATGAATAAGGGTCTTATCTAGTACTCTTTGAGTCATGACTCGAAAAAAGATTTGTTCATTTTGATGAACGAGTTTGAACATGAGAGTCACGAACGCGCATCACAGAACAGAGCAAGGCGAGCATTTGTGCTTATAAAACTTAAACTTTTTTATTTATTTTTGAAATGAGCGATCGTTTCGCTAGATAAGACCCTTATTCATCGTCTGGTGTCGTTTAAAGCCGTTTGAAGCTGCACTGAAACTCTCATTTGGACCTTCAACTGTTTGGTTCCCATTAAAGTCCATTATATGGAGAAAATTCTGGAACGTTTTCATCAAAAACCTTCATTTCTTTTCGAATGAAAAAAGAAAGACATGGACATCTTGGATGACATGGGGGTGAGTAAATTATCAGCAAAAGTTTTTTTTTTTTTAAAGTGAACTGCTCCTTTAAAAAAATTTAGATAATTCTACTAGGAAACAAGACACTTTTTTTTTTTTTTTTTTTTTGCAGTGTAGAAGTACTAGTAGTAGTGTAGTGTCATGGTTCGTTTTTTTGTAACCCTCCAGATTTGAAGTATACTTTGACTCGGCCTCACAGCTCTCATAATTGACCCCTGCTGAAAGAAAGAAAGAAAGAGCCTCTAATAAGCCAGACAGACACCGAAAGGACAGACAAGAATGCAGTAATTCAGAAGGAAAGAAACGTAAACACAAATAGACCGCCAGTCTACTTAAATAATGTGTCACCGCCGGCCCCAGACCACCATCTGTGTTGTCTGTAAACATGAAAGCCGCTCGGTTCCCTTTAATAATGGGAAGAGACAGTACTCTTCTGGGTTATAATTAGGCTAGAGCCGGCATAGTTCCGCAATGATTATCCCCATCAATGCCGTCTCAATTGTGAATGTTTTGAGAGCATAGCAACACCAAGTTAATTCTCTAAGGTGGTTGTTTATGCTTTTTATAAAAGTGAAGTGTCATTTTTCTACGTAAGATGAAATTGCACTGCAAAAAGCTGCCATTATGAATGCATCATTAACAATTTCCTCTTATTTTCTGCATGCAGATCACAGTTCAAGATGTTCCAACAGCGACCTGTTACTCCCTTACTGACCCACATATCATTACTTTTGATGGCAGGTAAAATATTTACGAGTTTTTAGAGTGTGTTTTCTTTTTTCTTGTAGCTCAACTGATAAAGCATTGCGCTAACAACGCTAGGGTCGTGGGTTCGATTCCCAAGAAACACAATGAATTTACTGAAGGCTTCTTATTTCTTCACTGGCTTTTGCGCTGGATGCTTTGAATTATTCTACATTACCTATGATTATTTTTACACAAGTCATGTGACTTTTACTAGACAGATGCTCAAATGGTACATTTTCAGGTAATGAGGCGGGAATGTAAAGGTCACTTCGGATTTCTGATTTGTGAGGCTCACATGTATCACTTGTACTTTGTGAAAGAGTATCAGTTCAAGATGTTCCGATCATGACCTGTTACTTTGCTCAACTGGTAAAGCATTACGCTAACAACAAACAATGCCAAGGTCTTGGGTTCGATTCCCAAGAATTACACTGAATTTACCCAAGGCTTTTTTATTTATTTCTTTGACATTTGCGCTAGACATTCTAAATCGTTCTAGATAGCTTGTGATTATTTCAACATACAGTAAGTAGTGTGACTTTTACATGACAGATGCTCTAATGCTACATTTTCAGGTAATGAGGCAGGAATGTAAAGGTCGCTTTGAATTTCAGATTTGTGAGGCACAGATTTAGCACTTGTACTCTTTGAATTTGGCCCAGAAGGAGGGATCTTTATGAATGTGTACGGCAACTGTCCTCATTAGTGAATGTGTCCTTGACAGACACCGGCCCTGTGCCACAATTTCCTCCAGTAGAGAGGCGCATATGGCCCGATTGGACAATGGATTTAAGTGTACAGTATAGCTGATGTATTGAGCAATGTGTGTTTACTGTGATGCCAAACGTACAGAGCAAAAATAGGAAAGTATCACAATCACCATTAAAGTAAATGATACTGAAACTGTCCTGTGGAAATTACTGCCTCTGTTTCGCTCTCTCAATTTCTTGCTCTCTTTTTTTTATCTTACAGTTCTTTTTTAAAAGGCTTTTTCTTCCTGCTTCTCCTCCACTTTGCCATTAAGTTTAAATAGTCCTCTGAGATGATACTGTGTTTAAAGATTTTTTTTTAAGTGCACACTGAGGTTTCTGGATTTCATCTGTTTTAATCACCAAGACCTTTTAGCAGAGTAAAACAGAACAGAAAATAACTCAATATGACAAACTTTGGAGCAATAGTGGATGCAACTGGATGTATCTATCTTTGTTTCATTTACCATCCCCAATATTTACATTGATGATCAAGCTACAGTAAGAAATTTAATGTGAATGCTAATCAGTTGTTGTTCCACCCAGGCGCTATGAGAACCAGCAAACGGGCACGTTTTTGCTTTATAAAAGCACCAAACGTGTGTTCGAAGTCCACACGAGGCAGTGGGATTGTGGGAGTCGGCATTACGCTGTGGCGTGTACCTGTGGCATAGCTGCTCGAGAGGGCAACGAGGTCGTGACCTTTGACATGTGCGACGGGCATCTGCAGGAAACACGCCCGCACTTGTCCGTCAAGTCCATGGGACCATCCGTGACCAATCAGATTAAGATCCACGAGACACATCAAGGGAAGAAAGTCACGGTACGGTTACATTCCAGTTCTGTGGTAGCTAATAACATTGAATTAAAGTGGCTAGGTTTTAAAAATAAGAAATGTAAACTTATGCTGAAGTGAAAATTCAGACAAAACAATCGAATCAAAGAAAGATTGTGTTATTATTGCAACTCGCAGTATCAACTGTTTTAGATTTGACTCAATACACTATATCCCTCATTGACATGCAAACTCAGGAAATCTCACTGTGAAATGTATACAGTTCAAGTTCAGGACAGGCAGATTTTCAATTTCTGTGGTGAAACTGTCTGAGAAGTAAACACAGATCTCATCTGTTTTGAAAAGAGGCCTTTTCCCCAGCAAAAGGATTTTAAAGTTCGGTCTCAAAAGACCATCAGTCTGTCAGTGCAGCAGATGTTGTCATTGTTGCATTGTGACTCAGTTTGCATGAGGGAGTATATTGTGATGGCTACATTTATCTAGATTTGTAATATTCTGATGTAGACTCTTGACAAATCACCACTAATTTCCTCGCAACCAGCTGGCAGGGAAATGGGATCTTTTACTAACATGTGCATTTAGTTTATGATTGAAGTTGGGGTAAACTCTAGATTAGATTAGGTAATGACGTTGGATCTAGTACATGCATGGACATAAATAAATTAACAAGAAATAAAACGGGACTTGACGCAACCTAAGCACTAGCCTTACATATATAAGGGTCAGCATGGCCTGATTCTGAAGATGATTTCAGTTTAATGTTTAAGGTTATATATGTACGAATTTCGAGGATTTTTGTTTGACCCCTGCAGATCGTCTTTGCCTCAGGGGCGTTTGTGCGAGCAGACGTCAGTGATTGGGGAATGAGTCTGTCCGTCAGAGCTCCAAGTCAGGACTTTAACGCCACCAGAGGCCTGTGTGGGTTATTTGACCGGAACAGCCACAACGACCTCCATCATCCTGCAGGCACAAGCCACCGTCACATAGACCTAGAGGAATTCATTCAAGGCTGGAGGTGAGTGATGCTTTTACAACAACCGTATAGTCTCTATTTTCACAAGAAACAATATATAGTACTTAATTGATCTCTTGAGTTTAAGAAGGGTAATAAATCTAGTCTAACCAGAGCCGTCCTGAACTGGGCTACTGAGGTCCTCTAAGGCAGGACTCTTCAGCCCCTGTTCTGGAGGGCCGGAATCCTGCAGACTTTATTACCAATCTCAATTTTCTGCAAGTAGCCCTGAACAACTTAATTAGCTTGTTTGTTTAGAGTTCAAGATGCCCTCCAGAACTAGACATGCTTTAAGGTGAACCTTCGGTCCTGGTCTGAAATATGCTGGTAAGAACTAAAAGACCTAAAAGACAAAAATATATGGGAGTTTCCTAGCTCAAAGCTCCCGGAAAAGATCCCATTCGAGTAGGAGTATTTAGGAGACGTGGAGAGCAGTTCGGTTTCAGATTAGAGTTTGCATCACCATTTAACCTTGATTTGCTCGTTTTAATGTCAAATATAATTAAAGTAGAGGAAAGTCTCTAATCTAATGGGCTAACCTTTCTCGAACTCTAAATCCTCTCTTGTCGCAGTGCTTGAGGGCTTAATTCAAAGGCTGATTTGAGACAGTCATATTTTTGTTTTATTTCTCTGTGTCAGGATCGCGCCTGGAGAGAGCCTGTTTGACAGCACGCCACCTGCCGTGAATGAGGAGATAAAGTGGAATTTCTGTGCTTGTCAAAAGGGATACAGCCTTTCCATCCATTCAATGCACACCTCCGAAGGCCTATTAAACCAACCTCCCGTCTCTCGGTGCCTATCTCACGACGACACAGATTATACGTCCTTGTTCCCCTTCAAAGATGCCACTGCCGAGTACACCATTAAACCTATCTCTGCCCGTAACGTCCGGAAGCGGGAGACGTTGGCTGAGGTGTTAGAGTTAGCCAAGATGAAAGGTGTTAAACTGGAGTCTCAGGTGCCCCAAGGTCAGGCAGACAACTCTCCTTCTTTAGAGGAGTTAGAATTGGAGTCATTATTTAAAGTTGACGGCCCCAACTTGAATGAATTTAAGGTGCCCTTACTAAGTTCAGGTGGAAGGCCTAAGAGAGAAACCCTTGACTTTCTGCCCATTTACACCGCCCAGGCCCTAAGCCAGACCGACCTCGAAAGTTTAGCCTACTTCTTTCCAGATGACCACCGCTCCTCCAGCCGTCCAGCTGCCTACCCTTCCTGGCCGACACCTAGTGGCCTCACTTCTGCCAAGGCTTTGGAGGTCTGCCAATTGGCCTTGGTTAACTCAACTGTGGGCACAGCATGCAAGAGTCTGCTGGGTCGACGCCTGGAAGAAGCTGTGGATCTCTGCATCCTGGATCTTCAGTTGAAAGATGATTTGGCCTGGGAGGACGCACTCGTGCCCTTCCTAGAGAACGAATGTGAGAAAAAGTGGCTGGAGAACCGGACCCATCGTACCCAAGACGCTTCCAGATCGTTGGCGGATATTGCAATGGCCCTACGTTGTCCGAACTTCTGTAATGGGAACGGGCAATGTGAAGAGTGGGGATGTCAGTGTTATCCAGGCTACAGCTTTTACGACTGCAGTCTCACCATCAGTAAGTGATTGTTTTGACATCCATCTGTTGCTTCAAATGTATTCCCCTAGGGATCCTCGATTATCAGAAACACTTTGGCTTTAATATATGCAAAATATCCATCAATAAGCAGCCAAATGGGGTATTACAACATGTTTTGTGTGATATACCTGCAGGGGTTTGTGGAGTTTGAGTAGGGACCGCATTTGTAGATAAAGGTTGTCTTTGAGTTTTGTTCAGGTGGCCTGGGGAAAGTATATATTTGTTCTCACGATCAATGGACACAATGGAGTCTCATCCATCAATCCTTTATTGAGCATTTGAAAGTTTTCTTCAAAGGAATTGTGGTCCAAGAGGAGTTTTATTGATCAGAGGTTGTTCATTCACAGCCGAGGTGACTTAATGTTAAGGTTAGGTTTCAACTTTTTCCTAAAGTTCCTTGAAGTTGAGGAAAATGAGAACCTTTGAGTGCAAAGACATTAAATCAAAGTCAACTGTAGTAAATCTTAGCTAATTTGGTCTTGGAATATTTTGATGAGAACGTTTGAGTTTATAATCTCGGTAGTTCTGAGAATAGATTGTTAAAACTCTGGAGGAGACTCATGAGATTATTCTGGTCTTTTTTTCTCAGAAGAACTTCTTAGGAGAGGTTTCCTTTTCCAAATCCTTGCATTGTCACTTCCTGTTTAAAAAGTCACATCACTTCCTGTTCCTGAAGGAAAAGCAGATGAAATGCAACACACTGAATTTTTGCCTCTATTGATAACACTAGAGCTAGAACACTAGAAAGTTGTGTACTGTACAAATGGGAGTTGACGTGAGAAGTTCAGCAGTCCGGCATTGTTTTGTAAGTGGATGACTGTCTAGTGTAATATGTTGTTGTATCTTTATGGGTCAGAAGTTTACTGCTCTTTTGTCCAAATGTGTGTGATTAAAATCCTGTACTTTGGCACAAGTACAGTGTTCACTACAGCTGCCATTACCAGATGGTGGCCAAAGTGCCAGAACATTTCTGTGGCATTAGATTCAACATTTCTGTGGCAGCTCTTTTCATCAAGTGTGTATTTTTACTATCTTGTTAGTTGTGTGCTTTGGATGCTGTTGTTCGTTATTCCTTTTCTTTACACTCTGCGAAGAATAATTTCCTACTCCCTCAAGCATGTCTTCAAAGAAACCGCAGATGGCTTGCGTTTGTGCAAGAGTGATTTTTATTGATTAGATGAATTATTTGAAATTATGTATGGAACTCCTTTCGGAACGGCAAAGTCGTTTAGCGTGTTTATCGACTGATTGTTTCTGGCAATAACGACGAGGCTCAGAAGTGCCATTAGATTTCCCAGCCAAGCTTCATATTGTTATGCAGGTATGCTATCGCCTGGCACTGTGCCAGATGCCCATGCCCTCTCCCTGATTAGCATTGGGATCTTCGCTAAGCCGCTATCTTCCTCGACGTTTTTCGCATGCTCCCTGGGGCTGACTTGGTGACGAAATGGCAGTTTTAACACAAATTAGCGAGCAGATTAGGAGTGCTAGAGAGGGCTGTTTGTCACAGACTGACGTTTTTCAACCTCTCCGAGAGCGAACTCTGATTTATGGTAACCACGCTAGGATCAACGTGCAAGGTAGCTCAGGGAGGACGGCTAGATAAATCTGCTTAATTGCTCAACTGATCATCGGCTGATGCCTCTTCTACATCTGGGAACCCCATTCATTATTTTTATTCTGAAGCCATGACACATTTATGCCTAAGCGTTTTTGGTTGACTTTATTTGCACTTCATCCAGTCAAATGCGGATTTTTGCATGTCTTCTCTTATCTTTTGGCCTCATAATGTGCAAATAGTTATGTTAGCATGCTATGTATGTTAGCATGTAGGCTAGTATATAGTGTACTGTGTTCTGTATGCTAGTTCTCTCCATTCTACATTAATCAAAACGTACGACAGAGCACACTTTATTCCACAAATTTTCATTGTACTCAACCTGGCCTTCGATTTCCAAATTGATGAAGGAACTGAACGTAATAACTACAGCTATTTTTTCATCTCTCATTATTTGATTGGAAAGCCTATTTAACATGTTTTTACACAAAGTTTGAATCGATAACCATTTTTTTCTATACTATACTACTAACGTCGTAGAAAAGGAATGTTTGGAAATGTGAATGCTATAACAGGACTAATGCTGCTCTATGACCCTTTTAAAGGGACAGTGCACCCAAAAAGGAAATTTCAGTCATTATTTATGTTCCAAACCCATATGTTGTTGTTTTTTTCTGCTTGTAGAGCAGATGAATGAGAGATAAAAGGTTAGATTTCAGTTTCCACACATATTCTCTTAGTCCTCTGGCACATTTTATGCTATTACTGCCTCAATGAAGGTTGTCCGGCACTCATTCGGCGCTACTACTACTTTCTTTCCCATATAATCCAGGTAGAGTGAAAAGCAAGTCGATAGAAAAGGCAATCAGACCATATTCAATACCTCTGCATATCTGGCTATCATTCAATAGTGGAACAGTCTGGAAAACCTCACTATTGCCTTCATTCAGTTGTGATTTTCAGCAGCGAGGCAGGGGTCACATTCTGTAGAAAGGACTCCGCTTGGATTCATCTCGGACTCTTTTTTTTTTTTTTACAGCAGGTTCAGTGAGTCATCCGATCGTTCCTCATTTATCATTTCTCTTCAAACATAAAGCACAAGCGTTCGCCCTTGTGGCAGAGATTAAAAACTCCTGAATATCTCTCACGCTCCCTTCCTGGCCGGTCAGGGACAGTGTGTGAGTGTGTGTATTTGTGTGTGCGCGCACTGCGTCGATGCTCGAGGCTTGTCTGGTTCAGAACTGCATTTTAGGAGCTCGGGAACAGAGTGAATCATGGGAAAGTCTGAAAATCACCTCACTGACCTGCTGAGCTGGACATTTTGGATCTCTGAGGCGATTAGGAAGGTATATTTGTGGCACTCCTAAAGTGAGGATTAAAGCTTTTTTAAGGTCCTAGTTTGTGTGGTAAAGCCATGATGATCCTTGGTTCAATTGCTATAACATTTTATTTGCTTGCTAATTGTTTTCAATTTACATAACATGCTAATTGTTTAATTGAGAGTATTTTTTTTTTCATTAGCATCAAAGATTAGCATCAACATTACACACACACACATATATATATATATATATATATATATATATATATATTAGTAAAACAATTTAAATGTATATTATAGAAATTAAATGACAAGCTAAATATGCATGCAAAGATGTTTATAAAAATGCATCACATGAAATAATATTTTAATATGATTTTTTTATTTTTATTTTAAGCTAACAAAACATTTAATATCCAAATTTCTGGTCCCACTTTATATTAAGTGGCTTTAAGTACTATGTACTTACATTTCAAAATAAGTACAATGTACTTATTGTGCTCATGTTATATTGTAAATCACTTTTGCTGTTATTGAGGTGTGATACGGGTAAGGTTAGGGACAGGTGTGGTGGTATGGGTAGGTTTAAGGGTGGGTTTAAGTGTAAGGGGATGGGTCATCTGTGTAATTACAGATGTATTTTTTTTTTTTTTGACAGTATTTTTAAAACATACGTACAATGTAAAAACATGTATGTACACAATAAGTCCATTGTATCAAATTATTAATTTCAATGTAAGTACATGGTACTTAAAGCCACTTAATATAAAATGGGACCAAATTTCTTTTTCTTAAATAATTTAAAATGACCTTGAAGAATGTCTCGGATGGTAGTATATCTTTCCTAAACAGTGCTAAGGGGCGATTTGTTTTCGTAATTATTTTATTGCAATTCTTTACCAAGTGTAAAATTACACAAAATGAGACCATCTGGAGGAAGTTCTTTGATGAGGCTAAAATTCATTAGCACTCACTTCTGTGCTTAATTGTTCTCCTTTGAGGATAATTTTCTCTCATATCTTTTATTGTTTTCCTTCCTTCCTTCCTTTTTTTTTTTTTTTTTTTTTTAGATATTCTCCACTTATGGCTTAGTTTAGCATGCCATCCCAGAACATCCATTTGCGTTTGCGTCTCAGAAATGTGATTTAAATAGACTTCCACCCTGCGGAGATCTGAACGTAAGGTTATGCTCTGGTAATAAAAACACTGATTTGAAATGAGCCAAGATGGGAGCGATAATGGCATTAAGAAAGCGTAATGCTGCCTCGGTAAAGTCATTTCAGCCTGTCGCTGAAACCATATTAAATGTTGTTGTGTTTTATAAGGCCTGAGAGACGCCCAAACAAGCTCGTATTTACTCGTTTGCATTATTCAAGAACCTCAGTTATAGGGAACGTTATACTCCACTGCTCTAATTGTACTGTGATATTTTCAGCATGTATCCGTTCTCTGTTTAATGGCAAATGCAGACTGGCAGGGTCAGAATCCAGCAGGCTGAAAATTTTGAATAGCTTAAAGCCTGGATTGTTTGGTTTTGTGTTTGTTAGTGGCAGTGTACTACTTTCGTTTTGGCGTCTTTCAAACTGCCACTGTTGCATTTTTCCATTTGAGTCCCGTAAACTTTATTTACTGGTGGTTTTCGGAAAGGATGTGGCGGTTTCTGCAGAGTACATTTTTAAAGATTTCACATTAATTTACGAGACTATAGTGCCTTTTCAATGAATCAACAATGTGTAGACTGCAGACTGTCATTTTTGCAGTCTCATTCGACTGAAAGACGTTTTCTTTTTTTTTCTTTTTTCTTTTTTGTATGAGGTTGTTGAGATAAATGACAAAGAAACTTTGGTTTTGACCTTGTAACACAGAAAAGTGCATAATACTTCAGTTTTCTCCCACAATTGTGTGTATTTATGGGTGTATTCTTGAGTGGTAAAACTTCAATGTCAAAACCCATACACAGGCTGTGTCCTTCAGGCAGGCCACGCCCCTAGAGACTTACAATCAGAAAATATTATGAAAGGCACTATTACTAATGTACTTCTTAAGGTTATTTAAACAAACCCCTAACAATTTCATATTTGTTCCTATTACTGTAAATTCTTTGTTTCTTTGGTTTCCTCAGGTCAGCCAATAGAAGTCACCGATCTTGAGAACGGCGGTTTGTGTGATGTACGTGAGTTCGACTGTGACAGCGTGAGGGTTTTCGGGCTGGGTTTCATCGACTCCCCTGGCCTTGCGTGTCTCGTGATCAGATTAAAGGTGAGACATTAATGATTTCACTTGTGTTTATTTGGCAAATGATGTACAGTATATGTGTATTTTTATAAGGTTTTTGATGAAAACATTCCAGGATTTTTCTCCATATAATGGACTTCAATGGGAACCAAACGGTTCAAGGTCCAAAAGACAGTTTCAGTGCAAACTGTTCAAAGGGCTTTAAACGATTCCAGACGATGAATAAGGGTCTTATCAAGCGAAACGATCGCTCATTTAAAAAAATAACAACAACGTTTAAGTTTTATAAGCTCAAATGCTCGCCTTGCTTTGTTCTCTCATGCGCGTTCGTGACTCTCTTGTTCGAACTCATTTATCAAAATGAACGAATGAGTCAATTTGTTCATTTCGTTCGTTGAATGAACCAAATGACACGAAAAAAGATTAGTTCTTTTTGATAAACGAGTTTGAACATGAGAGTCACGAACGCTCATCACAGAACAGAGCAAGGCGACCATTTGAGCTTATAAAACACGTTATACACTTTATTTCCAATTTTCAAATATTTTCTCAATTTTTATTGAAAAGAAATAAATATCATATGTGATGGGAAAAGGGAGTCGAGTGATTTTGGCAAAAGTCGGATTCAAACTCGATCTGCCAGTGTTGTAGTACTCGAGACTCGGACTCGTCTCGAGACCATATTTTAATGGTCTTGGTCTTGTCATGGACTCGTTTGCATTTGGACTCGGAATTGACTCGTACTCGAACATTTTTTTTTTTAGGACTTGGACTTATTCCCGAGTCCACTCGAGTTCAATTCAAAATATTTTTCATGATTATTAATGTATGTTAATAAAACATTTCTTTAAATTGTTTGACACGCCCAGTGATTGGTGATTTTCTAGTGTGCAACTGCGCATGACAAATTGTAATAAAATTACTTTTAATACCACCTACTATGTGGCCTTTTTACCCTAAAGTAAATTCAGTAAAAAAAAAAAAAAAAGATTTCTCCAAGTAAATAAAAGTAAATTAGGTAATCAACCCTAACTGGTCTCGGTCTCGACCGTCTCTGGTCTTGGACTCGACTCGGACTCGACTCTCTCTGGTCTCGGTCTTGACTCGGACTCGAGTGAGGTGGTCTCGACTACAACACTGCGATCTGCGTCAAAACTTTTTGCGTCAAAGTAGTGAAGCCGCCAGTATCTCGACATGGCGCTGACATCTTGGAACTTGAGTTTGCGCAGAAGTGATTTCGGGACCAGACATGCGCACTAGTGAGCAGGAAGTATAGCCGCGAAAACAAGGCCCCGCACTTAATTGAATATAATTTTGTTTGTTTTAATGGCCAAGATCACAGTCGACTATTCTAAGCCTGTCTTCTTTAATATTTCATCAAAGAGTCTTTATGAATCTTCGCATGCCTTTTTTTAATACCTGCTTGCCATCTGTTTGTGTATTTAATTAGAAGAATAAGGGGAACGACATAGGGGGATATCTGATGAGATAAAGAAAGCAATAAAAACAGTCATCAGTCAACACAGCAGAGAACATACAAAGAAAACACGGTGCAATAAGACTGGTAAACAACATGCAAAAGCACACATTATGTGCTGTGAATATTGTTTTACTTAAAAGCTTTCCACTCGAAGATCATTTAATGATGTCAAATCGCTGCCCTGAAGGGCTGAGTTTAACCCTCATAATCGGAGACCCCAATAACTCAAAATCATTCTTAACCTTGAAGAGGTTAGTGCTTCTGAATCTATAAAAAGGCCATGTATACTTTGACATGTATACATCCACCATGTAATTCTGAATATGCTCCCTTTATTCTTTTCTCTCATTTAAAGTCCACCACTCGCTGTCTTTTTCCCAGGAGGCATTTCACCTCCTCTGTGGGGTCATCCCATTTGAGCAAATTGATTTGGCAAGCTGTTTCTGTTTCTCTCAAACAATGAGGGTTCAGAGGTGAATATTGCTCTAATCTTCTGATAAAAGTTTGTTGAATTTAAAGAAAAGTCACTTTAAAAATGAACATTTCGACATTTATGTACACTGTAAAATAAAAGGCCTTTTTCGAAGTTAGGGTTAGGTTTTTTGTAGTACGTTTTCCAAGCAAATACTATTTCCATATTTCTATTTAAAAATGTCACGTTTAATTTCATTTGCCACATTTTCTTGCGATTTCAGAGTTACTTATTTGTGCAATGTTGTTCCAATCCTTTCATGATATGGAAAAGAGCAGCCAGAACATTCTTCAAAATATCTCATTTTTTCTTCCATGAAAGAAACAAAGTCATACAATTTGGGAAAATAAGTTGTTAAAAAATATTAATTTTAGGTGAATTATCCCATAGTAAATCAAATGCTAATGAAATAAAAGGCCACTTAAGTGCACTTTCACTATAAGTTCACTATAACTATGTTAAAAAAGTGCTCTTCGTAATAATGTCAAATTAAGTTGATTTTAAATCATTATGTTTTAATAATTTGATGCTTTAAAGTACACATAATTTGATGTGTTTACTAACATACGCACATGTAAAAACCTTTAACTCTTGTGCGATATTTGAATGTACTAAATTGCAACTACATCATTACAAATGTGATAGAAATGACATTAAATTGTAATTTAGTTTAACAAAATTGCTTGTACATTTAGTTACTTAAGTAATGTTCTTAAGCCAATGGGTCAAAAAGCACTCTAATGTTTAATATCAGTTTAATTTCATTGTAAATATTAAATAACAGTGTCTGAAAACATTACATCCAGTTCACACTTAAGTATTATTTGACAGTATATTATTTTCATGCTTTAAAAGTATGCAAAAATGTACTTCTATTTCAAGTCAATTATTATTATTTTTTGCTAATGTTTTTTAGCACACAAATGGCGTTTGGATCCCTAAAGAGGAAGGGACTACCAAAGCGTCCTTCCTGAGCTCCAAAGCGGTGGACTGCTCCGTCCCTCGACTCGGCAACATGGCCGTCGACACGGTGGACTTCATGGCCAGCGAGCAGCCCTATGCCAGATGGGAGATTAAGGTACCTGTCCATCAATCTCAGGGACAGGGAAATGTCTGAGGGTTCGTGTGATTGATTTCCCACTGCCATTTTTTGCAGTGACTGAATGAATCAAAATGTCATCAGTCTGATAAAAGCAGGCCATCTTTTCCTAAACTTTCCATTGTGATTGAAAGATGAAGCGCCAGCTTCTCTGTATTGGCGAAAATGTAATTACACACGAAGTCTCCTTCACAGTTGTGGGTTTTAACGCTTAAAACCAGCCTGAATTTATGCCGGTCGCACGCGCTGTTTGAGGCCAAGCTAAATGATGCGTACCTGGGCGCTTTAAAATATTATATCTGTCGAAATCATCAAACCATGAGATGGAGGAGAGCTCTTCCGTTCTGAATGACAGCCATAAAGGCAACACAATCATTTTAATCATTTTTATGCTTTGACGGCCCATGTAGGAAACCAATCTGACTTTACCTTTAAGGATATGGCGAACATAAACATTAAAAAGTTTGTCAACTCAATTCAGGTTGTGAGATCATTGACCTCATCGCTTGGTCCCAAAGTGGGCCTTGATCTATGTGTGTGTGTTAATGAGTGTGTTTACTGTTGTAAAAAATGGATAGCTCGTGATGAGGAATCATTAACATAAATTGCGTTCAGAGAGCCACAGGGTGTCTCCGAAGGTCAGAGCAAAGACGAATCTGTGAGATAATACATCTCGAAATCCACCTAAACTCCTGCCCGCATTAATCTCAAAGGCTTGTGGGATTAAACACTCACTGAGGGGTTGAAAAATGAACCTCACTTTTGGATTTACTCAAACTTGTGCTGCTAAAGATGCTCTGAAGTGTTACAAGAAGACGTGCTTTTTTGCATCACCTGCCAGTGGCGGAAGTTTGCAGATCGTAAATATTTCTGAATATGCATTTTGCATTACCTTAATGAAAACGTTATTTTGCATGCAATGCCAACATACATAATTACCTGTTTTTTAAGATATTTAAAATATTTATTTTTATTACTTTTTACGAAAATTTAGTAAAAAGCCATGTAATGAACAGCATAATGTGGAATTAGTTTGTCTTCATCACAAATTTTCTTTGTTTTGCGATAAATTATGGCTGTTTGACTGCACATTACCTTAAAAATTAAATGTTCTCTTTTGACCTTGAGTGAATGTAATACCACATTCACTTATCTATCATATGTATTTAAACCTCTCTATCTCTCTTTTTCTTCTTCAGGTGACTAATGATGGTCGTCAGTACAGCAAGGGGAAATTTTTAACCCTTTACGACGGTATTTGCCAGTTGTGTGTGAATCCCTCTGGACGTTGCAAGCTGAAGGTAATGATATAGTCTTGAATAGGCCAATAGATTGTAAATAGTTGTCGTTTTTCATCTACAAAATAGCATAGAAAATGTGAAAAAAATACGCATACATAGCATTTTTTCCAACAAGTTATGGGTTAAATTGATTTTTAACTGTATTTGCATTGTCTGAAGGAAATTTAAAAGTTTAACTTTTAAGTAAGTTTAGGTTTGTTATAAACATCAGAGCCATTCTGCAGTTTTCGAACATGATGTTGGCGGTTTTTGAGAAATTTACTGCGCCTTTATCATTTAAAAGTGATTGTAAATAGATAGATGCATGAAATCACAGACTAATCACAATTTAGTATGGAAATACATTTTTACAAACTACAGGGAAAAAAAGAAGACATAAATAGTGATGTCACTGCTGAAGCTTTAATATTGAAATAAAATGTATAGGAGATGGAGAAGTCTTCTTCGTAAATAATTCATGACTAATTTGTAATTAATTTGATGTGTTATATAATTTTAAATAGTATTACTGACTATTTATGTATATCCAATATACACTCAACTAAAGGATTATTAGGAACACCATATACTAATACTGTGTCTGCCTTAATTCTACGTGGCTTTGATTCATCAAGGTGCTGAAAGCATTCTTTAGAAATGTTGGCCCATATTGATTGGGTAGCATCTTGCAGTTGAGATTCTTGGAGATTTGTGGGATGCACATCCAGGGCACGAAGCTCCCATTCCACCACATCCCAAAGATGCTCTATTGGGTTGAGATCCGGTGACTGCGGGGGCCATTTTAGTACAGTGAACTCATTGTCATGTTCAAGAAACCAATTTGAAATGATTCAAGCTTTGTGACATGGTGCATTATCCTGCATCAGAGGATGGGGACATGGTGGCCATAAAGGGGTGGACATGGTCAGAAACAATGCTCAGGTAGGTTGTGGCATTTAAACGATGCCCAATTGGCACTAAGGGGCCTAAAGTGTGCCAAGAAATCATCCCCACACCATTACACCACCACCAGCCTGCACAGTGGTAACAATGCATGACGGATCCATGTTCTCATTCTGTTTACGCCAAATTCGGACTCTACCATGTGAATGTCTCGACAGAAATCGAGACTCATCAGACATTTTTAGTCTTCAACTGCCCAATTTTGGTGAACTCTTGCAAATTGTATCCTCTTTTTCCTAGTTGTAGTGGAGATGAGTGGTACCCAGTGGGGTCTTCTGCTGTTGTAGCCCCTGTTTGGTTTAAAATCTTCTGAACAGATGAAGATTGTTTCTAGCACTGTGTTAAAGCCATCCATGATTGTTCCTGCACAGCTTCCTTTCCGTTCATTTATCCATCTGTCCATCATCCTTTATATTCACTGTGCGCAAAATGACTTCCTCAACTAATGGCCTGGATTTTCCACTGGAAAATAAGTCGCAGAGGATGCGGGTTTATGAACTCAAAAGGCAAAAAGTCTGTCATAGCCCGTTTACTGTCTTAACTGCAACAGGACAGCTGCGATACGCGAGGGTGTGTGTGTGTTGGAAAACCCCAGAGCGTGGATGTGGAAAACAGATATGTTCACAACATGGAGACCAATCCCTTGAGCACCTGACATACTCGCTCGCGCTTTCTTTCTCTGGGTTTCCGACTGCCACATAGCATGTAATCTCACCGTGAGAGATGAGTTATCTAGGTGGATCCGTTTGGTCTGTGTTTATCGTCTCTGCTTTGCCACGCATGTCCTCCGGGCGCTGCGACTGACACGTCCCACTGGATATTAAAAACTTGAAATATAGAGATGCTATCGTTGCCAAGCTTTATACTTTGGTGGTTTATAGCAAATACGGTTGAGCTTTATCTGAAAGAATTGACAGGGGAAGTTGGTTTGAGTGCCAGTAACCGTGAACAGTAGCAAAATATCTCCACGCTTTCTTTCTTTCTTTCTAGCTCAATTGCTAAATTTGAACACTAACAACAACAAGGTTGTACGTAAGTTGGAATCCCAAGCAGGGTTGCCAGGCGTTTGCAACAAAAGTAGCCCAATGGCCAGTCAAAAGCGTCGTTTGGCCAACTTCTCAACTGAATTTGTACGTCTTGGGGTGTTTTGGGGGTGTTTGAGCACCGAAATCTTATTTACAGGTGGAAATCAACCCACAAGGCACTTTTTTTTCTTTTTCTTTTTTTTACCTGCGGATACAATTTTAAAGCAGCCCAATTCTGCAGGAAAACCACAGACTTGGCAACACTGATCCCAGGGAAAGTACAAAAAAAGTCACTTTGGATAAAAATGTGTTCAGGGTTATATAGTTTATTATTATTATTATTTTTTTTTTTCATATTTTATATAATATTTTATATTATTAATTAAAAAAATTCAAGCTATCCTTTTTTTTTTTTTTTTATTTTAGGGTTATGATAATAGTAACATATTGTATTATATTTTTTATTTTAGTTTCATGTAATTTAGTTTACTTTCAGTTTTTTTACTTTCTGTTATTTTAATAATTATTTTCAGTTTATTTTTAGTTTTTTAGCTTAGTTTAATGTAATTTAGTTCACCCAGTTATGTATCTATTTTAATATAATTTGTTTGTTTGTATCTCTTAAGACCTTCTTTAATTAGTTTTCATGAACAATAATAACAGTTCTTCCCTCTTTCTCTCTCTCTCTCAGGAGAGGACGTGTAATATAGATGGGATGTGTTTTGCCAAGGGAGACTCCAGCCCTTCTGTTCCGTGTCTCTTGTGTAACTCCACGGCCTCCAAATACACCTGGTCCATTAATCAAGGTAAGCACAGTCGATTTGAAGTCAAACCGAGATCTTATGGCAATAGCTCACTTTATTGAACATTATCTGTACTTGTTACAATCACAGCACACCATTACGCTACAAATAAAGTTACAAGCCATTGGACGCGACCCAACAACCTTCTACGGCACAGTCCAATTGAAATCTAATTTGGTGCTAATAAAGACAAATCCATTCAAAAAGATCTCAAATACGAGCTGTGGTCTAGTATTTCATAACATGCTGCAGATGCATTGAGCCGTGATGTTCATATGGCAGATTTAGGTTCGAATCCCACCCCTGCTCTTAAAAAAAGTCCTATAAAATAAAGAAGAGCTGTTTAGACTGACTGATTGTGACCTTTACAAGATGTATTTAGCTGAATATTGTGTGAAGCACTTACTGCATTATTCATTATCAAACTATAAAAGGATGTAGGAAGGGAGATCTGAAAGGATGCGCTGTCTTGCTATTACTTTGAGTTTGTTAGAAGTTAAAAGCGCCCCGCTTTACGAACAGACTTTATTACAGCAGCTAAACAGAGACGTTGTGTGGCGAGTCAGCTGGAATATGCTAGCTGTGGATCGTTCTGTTTACGTTCTCGCGTAAACAGGCCTACACACCCTCGCATGTCTTATTTATTTTTATAAAATGCCAGTTATCTGAATAATAATCCGAAACAATGTTCTGTTTTCACAAATTGTTAATAAAATCGAATTATTATAAAATAATAATAATATAGAATTTTGTAATATGTTAACATTAAATATTTGTATTAATAATTATTTTATTTTAGTAATAATAATAATAATAATGGTTATTATCATTATTATTATTATATAGCACAAACTCTCCTTTCTTCTAATATTACCACCACCAGTAATAATAATAATAATCATTAAATAATATTATGTTATGTTAAAATAAGTTGTATTACATTACATCCATTATAATTAAAAACCATAATGTTAATAATTGTTATTATTATTAATATTATTCTTAACAAATATTATATCAATATTAAATATATTTTCAAATATTTGTATTAATAATTATTAGGGCTGTGCAAAGATTAATTGCGATTAATCGCATCCAAAATAAAAGTTTGATTAATATATAAATAATTAATATACATTATATATATATATATATATATATATATATATATATATACAGTATTTATATCCAAATAATTCTTAAATATATACATGCATGCATATGTATTTATATACACAAAATAATTATACACCCCCACACACATTTATTATGTAAACACAAACTTTTATTTTGGATGCGATTAATCGCAATTAATCTTTGCACAGCCCTAATAATTATTATAGTAATAATAATTACTATGGTTATTGTTGTTATTATTATATCATAAACTCTCTCTTCTTCTAATGCTACTACTATTACTAATAATACAAATAATAAAATATTATTATTATTATTTATTACATAAAAGTAATATTATGTATTGTATTAAAGTATATTATTGTGTTATATAAAATTATTTTACATTTGTACCTTTTAATATTAGACATTTTAATATTTGATTATATTATAATAATTATTATTATTATACAGCACAATCTCTCTCTTAATAATAATATAGTTTTCTGTTTTATAGCATTTTGTAAGATTGATGAGCCTTTTTGAAAAAAGACCAACCACAAAAGTCATATTTAAGAGTTTTACTTGGATTTTAAATATAGCAAAACAATTAGACACACAAGTAACAACATTACAAACTGTCAAGTCAAGTTGTTTGGGATCATGTTGCATTTCATTTCAGCAAAAACTCCCTCTTCTTTATCCACACATTCCAACACCATGCCCATGTACAGCGAGAACATCTAGTAAACATTCGTCTGTTTGCCTGAACTGCAAATGAGGTCCGGGCTGATGCTATCTGAAGACTCTACACACACACACACACACACCATTCAGCATGAAGGAACATTATACCCATTCACCTCACACCCACTTATCTTCCTGATAGTTATTTCCCTTGTGCTTCTGCCATGCTTTTTTCCCCACCATTCTGTGGCAAAATTGAGAGTCCATTCATTCATGCAGACAAATTAAGTTTAGATGAGATGATCATCAAGAAATTTAAATGTTAAGTGATTCAAATGAGCATTTGTGCTGCAGCTGAACTGTCGCATAACTGAGGAAAATATACATCAGACCATTTTGAAACAATTAGCATTTGTTTGTTTTTTTACATGGTTTGCATGTTTGCATTGATAAAATGGCAACAGTATGTTTAGCTGAATGTTATCATGGTATTATACATTGGGTTTGTTTACCCCTTATGATGTCAGAACAGATTTATGGAGCATTTTGTTGTTAGTTGACATTTCCCAGCCAGAAACACACAAACTCATATACATCACGCTGCTCGAGAATGAGATTTTGAATATGAGTGACATATTGGTGCAGAGAATGCTTTCATATTCCACGATCAGGGTTGGTTTATTTTCTGTGGTTCTGTTGTGGATAATTGCATGTCACTTAAGATTGATATTTTTGCTCCACGTTGCGATTTTTGTCAAGTTTCTCAAGAAACAAGAAGCGGGAAATAACTGTCGGAAACAAACACACGATGCTTTAAATCAGATTTTATCCCACACATGTCTTCATGCCAGATATTACAAAAATATCATATCATTTATTTAAAAATATATATGATATGTTTCAATTAATTATGTTCCAATTATTAAGTGTTTAACAATAAAAACAATAATAATATTTAGACTATATATGGTCTGTTAAAGTTTGCAGTTTATGAATAACTAATGATAATAAATGCTATTTTAGTTATTTATTAATTTACATTAATGAATAAAACCTTGCTAAATAGTATACGTATACATTTAAAGGACATTTTTGTCAACAAAAAAGTCTATGACTGCAAAGGGCCATTGACGCCACAGAAGGTAACTATATATGTGTGTGTGTGTGTGTGTGTTTGTGTGTGTGTGTGTATATATATATATATATATATATATATCGGGGCTGTTAAACGATTAATAGCGATTAATCGCATCCAAAATAAAAGTTTGTCTTTACATAATGTATGTGGGTGCACTGTGTATAATTATTTTGTATATTTATAAATACACACACATGCATGTACATTTAAGAAAAAATATTATTTATATGTAAAATATTTAGATTTATATATAATATAAATTATACATCTATATACAGTATACTTGAAAATATTTCTTAAATATTAAATCTTAAATATTTCTTAAGTGTTTATATATATATAAAATAATTATACACAGTGCACCCACATATATTATGTAAACAAAAACTTTTATTTTTGGATTCGATTAATCATGATTAATCATTTGACAGCCCTAATATATATATATATATATATATATATATATAACACGGAAAGCCGGACAAATAATGTCAATGGCGGGAAAAGAGTTGAAGAGCTTTTCGTTAGCTTTAGCTAACAAGCTAACATAAAGCTACTGGAATCTTACCAAAGGCTTGTGGTGTTAAGGTTCGCAACAAGGACAATAACAATAAAGTTTTAATAATTGTTCTAATTTTTAGAATAGGAAATCCACACCACAATAACGATACAACCGACGATACAACGATAACAATAACGACCAAGGGATGATATCGTTGGAATCACTTTCAGAACATTTTGTTTTTCAGCTGGTGAGTGACAAGAACATTGACAGCCAATCAGAATCCATCCTGCTTGATAGAGCTCAAACTTTTAAAGCGGCAGTCGACAAAACTGACAAATATCATCTGGTTACTGAAGATCAGCTCTGGGAGTCTGCGATTCCTTCACAGTATTCTTTCTTGAAATTCCCCTCTCATTTCCGCAGCTAATCGTCCACCGACCTTCCACAAGCCACGGGACGGCCTGCAGACCTTTGTAGGGGAGAATTTTGTGTACCAATTCACAGCCACGGACCCCGAGGGCTCGGCCCTACTCTTCCAGCTGGAGACGGGGCCCCCTGGGGCCTCAATTTCCCCGGCCGGGCTCCTCATCTGGAAAGTGCACGAGTCAGAAGCACACGGTTTTCATTTTACTGTGTCTGATGAGTGTGATGCCCGGAGCAGATTTAAAGTGGAGGTGAGAGACATTGAGAGATTGATGCCTGACTGATTTTTATGCTTAGGACAGAAATGAATTTCTATGAAACATGAAGAAAAGTTTAGTTTTGTAAATAATAATGTTAGTTTTGTAATAATGATCCAAGTCTCTTCTTGGATGTTTTAAAGGAACAGTCCTCCTAAAAATGTATGTTGTTCCAAACTCTTTTTTTTTTGTTTCAGATCATTAAGTTGAAGTGGAGAACTGGATCTTAAATTAAATTAAATTAAATATACAATAATAAAGTTAAATATAAAATAATAAAATAAAATTAAATAAATAAAACTTAATATATATATATATTTATATTCTATTAATAAATAAATTTATTCTATATCAATTATAATTATAAAAAAGTTATAATTATATAATAAAGTGAATTAAAAATTATATAAATAAAAGCAGCCACCATAATAACTTGACTACATTTTAGTATAACAGTGTTGTATTTTCAGGAACAAGCTACATTTTCTAATGAGCAGAGTTGTAGAATATTTTATCATGTGAGTTGAGGCAATCTGATTCATTTTAGTGAATCAATTTGTTCTTCACTTTGGATAAAAGTGTCTGCTAGCTAAATGAATACATGTAAATGCCAAGCTTTTATGATCTCCTTCAAAGATGGGTTTATTCACAATTATTCCATAACATTTATTCATAGCGAGATTAAACTAATAATTGAAACAGGACTGGATTATGGTCCTGCTTTCATACTTTAAACTTTGATGACAATTGACAAGTAAAATGGTGCATTTTTGCATATGTACCTTCTCTGAAGTTCCTTGGAGTCTTGTGTATATTCTGTACTATATGAATGAATATGGTAATCATTCAGTATCATCGTGCTACCTTAATTTGAGTTGGTATTTAGAGTTCCCAGTATGTCAAATATCGTATCATGGCATAAGGACAGCAGAATTCAGCTACCGGGATTCTCCCGAGTCCTGTGTCACAGCAAGCCGGTGCAACGAAAGACAAACGTCCTCTGCATATCTTTTGGGGGGCCTAGGCGGCTAACAAGCATCTGCTTCCTGCCTGCTAGCGCTTATTAAATGCTGTCTGAGTTTGAGAGATGCAGTCGATTGAGGATGAGAGAGAGAGAGAGAGAGAGAGAGAGAGAAAGACTGTAATTAGCAACAATGCTGAAAAAAAGTTGAGAGTCAGCAAGCTACTTCATATATATTTTCTATGTATGTGTATATATATATATATATATATATATATATATATATATATAATATATATATATATATATATATTAGGGCTGTCAAAATCGCATCCAAAATAAAGATTTGTGTTTACATAATATTTGTGGGTGCACTGTGTATAATTTTATATATATATATATATATATATATTATATAAATATAAATACATGGATATATATATATATATATATATATATACCTTTTAAATTTTTAATATTACGTTTTTATATTATATAGTGAATTGTAATTTTATAAATATAAAATAAAAAAAAAATAAAAAAAAAATATATACATATATATAAAAGTCTATATGTGTAGAAATAAATGAAAAACATTGATACACATTTATATATATATAGCTGATGTACACACAAACGCATGTACCTATATATTCTAATTTGTAATTTAATCAAAATTTAAATCAATATATCATTAGATATTGTAATTATTTGTGATTATTTAAATATTGATAATAATTCATATGTTAGCATTGATAATAAATAAACTAAGTTGTAGTGTTTTAGTTTTATTTCTATTTGCGTTTGCTTAAAGTTCTGTCCACGTTTCCATGGTTACAGGTGATAGTACGGCCATGTGGCTGCATGAATGGAGGGACGTGTGTGACTAACATCAAGTATCCAGCGGGCAGCGGCGAGTACCTGTGCGTATGCCCGGCGGGTTTCCATGGCGACCTGTGCCAGGATGAGCAGAACGAATGCGGCTCCAGTCCGTGTGGAGTCGGAACCTGTGTAGATCTGGTCGACGGGTTCGAATGCCAGTGTCCTACTGGACTCTCAGGTATTCCATTATGTTAGATTTTCTTTCCTTAACTTTCACATGGAACAATTATGACTAGGTTTGACTAGTGTGTGCATTTTTCGTATTGATTACCACCAAGCAGGTCAAAATAGCACAAACTCTTGGCTCAGATTCATTTGTGATCCAATTACAAAATCGTAGCTTGCCGAAAAAACAAAAAAAACAACAAAAAAAACGGCTCTAGTAATGACCTACGAGCTCATTTAGTTTCTCCAAGCTTGAAAACAGCCGAATACATGTAGGTGAAAACAAAAGGCTCAAAAGCAACAGGGAATTTCAGATAAATGCTTAACTGTTGATGTTTTCACACACTGTCTTTTCTGAGATTAGTGGTTGAAGTCTCTTCACCAGTGATGTGTGAATTAGTGTTTCCTGGCTGAATGCAATGACTGCTTGAAGTTGAAATGAAAAGCTTTCCTGTCAGGACTCAAGCATTTTTACCTTGTTGTGTTTTAAGGGCGCACTGCGTACGTATATCGAACCAGGTCAGAAGAGAGTTTGTCCATTTGCATGCGCGTGACATAAACAGACACTGCTGATTGGATGAAAGTTTGTGTTCTGCTGCTGCTCGTAATGCTTTGGGCCTTTGCAGATGGTTTGGACATTATTAAAGATCCCCTTCAAACACACTTCTAAGAGAAGCCACAAAACAACACAAATACAAATGAAAAAATGGACGAATGCCCAGCAGCTACTGAACCCACACAGAGGAAAGAGTATCTGTATGCTATTCTGCTACTGGGAATAGTAAACAGGCCAAAACACAGTGATGAATCGGTCTAGAAATGTTTTATCTTTGCTGAAAGCAGTGTTTGGTGTGGACTCCTGATGCTTTAGCTGAGGAAAGAAGTGCAGGAAATTATTGTCATTCTCTAAAAACAATGCTTCACCGCTATTTCTCGTTTGAATTTCAAATGTGCTTTATATTTGGTTAGAGTCCAACCTCTGTATCTGAGAAGTGTGTTTGGACGCATAAAGCTTAACTTTGAATAACGGATAATCGGATAAAAAGCCATTTTTTTCAGAGTTCTGAAGCGGATCATTGACTCTAAATGCTATTGTTCTTCACAGTGACAATAAGAAACAAACATCTACATGTATATGAATCAGGATACACTCACCTAAAGGATTATTAGGAACACCTGTTCAATTTCTCAATAATGCAATTATCTCATCAACCAATCACATGGCAGTTGCTTCAATGGATTTAGGGGTGTGGTCCTGGTCAAGACAATCTCCTGAACTCCAAACTGAATGTCCGAATGGGAAAGAAAGGTGATTTAACCAATTTTGAGCGTGGTATGCAGTTACTGGGATTTTCACGCACAACCATTTCTAGGGTTTACAAAGAATGGTGTGAAAAGGGAAAAACATCCAGTATGCGGCAGTCCTGTGGGCGAAAATTCCTTGTTGATGCAAGAGAATGGGTCGACTGATTCAAGCTGATAGAAGAGCAACTTTGACTGAAATAACCACTCGTTACAACCGAGGTATGCAGTGAAGCCACAACACGCACAACCTTGAGGCGGATGGGCTACAACAGCAGAAGACCCCACCGGGTACCACTCATCTCCACTACAAATAGGAAAAAGAGGCTACAATTTGCAAGAGCTCACCAAAATTGGACAGTTGAAGACTGGAAAAATGTTGCCTGGTCTGATGAGTCTCGATTTCTGTTGAGACATTCAGAATTTGGCGTAAACAGAATGAGAACATTGATCCATCAAGCCTTGTAACCACTGTGCAGGCTGGTGGTGGTGGTGTAATGGTGTGGGGGATGTTTTCTTGGCACACTTTCGGCCCCTTAGTGCCAATTGGGCATCGTTTAAATGCCACAGCCCTTTATGGCCACCATATGGCCTCTGATGGTTACTTCCAGCAGGATAATGCCCTATGTCACAAAGTACGAATCATTTCAAATTGGTTTCTTGAACATGACAATGAGTTCACTGTACTAAAATGGCCCCCACAGTCACCAGATCTCAATCCAATAGAGCATCTTTGGGATGTGGTGGAACGGGAGCAATTGCTATTCAGTTTTATTTAAAGATAACTTAATATAGCAGGTTAAAAAAAATTGCGTTTTAAACATTTGCGAGAAAAAACAAATGTCCATTTTTGGTGGACAGATGCATTTATTGCTAATAATAATTATAGTAATAATATTTGTTTTCTGTCCATAGGTGTCGCATGTCAGGATGATGTGAATGAGTGTGTGAGAAGGCCATGTTTTCCTGGAGTCAGATGCATGAACGGATTCGGCTCTTTCAGGTGTGGCCCCTGCCCTCGGGGCCTGGAGGGAGATGGGATCTCCTGCAAAGGTAAGAACCCTAAAATTCTGTTCCAACCACACAAGACTTTCATTCATTTTCGGAACACAGTTTAAGATACTTTTGATTAAATCTGAGAGTTGGATCACTCCTCCATAGGCTTCTTAGGGATTGAAACTTGTCGACATCTTCAATCCCTTAGAAGCCTATGGAGGAGTGATCCAACTCTCAGATTTAATCAAAAATATCTTCATTTGTGTTCTGAAGATGAACAAAAGTCTTACGGGGTTGGAACAACATGAGGATGAGTAATTACTGACAGAATTTACATTTTGGGGTGAACTAATCCGAAAAAAGAGCAAATGCCAAACTAAATATTGACAAAAGCTTTGTTGCACATATAAAAAGGGGAAAAATGGTTTTCTTTTCTTATTTTACGTCACACACAGAGGCCAAAGCAGCACAATCCTGCAGTTCTACCCAGGATTTACTTTAGGGAACACAGAGCTTTTCAATTCAAAGCATCAAAGTCTCAGCTTGAGTGCTTCCATGTATAATATGCTTGCAGAATTGCCAAACAGAAGTCAGAATAATGTATTGCAATAAAAAAAAAAACAGATACATATTTTGTCTTGACAAAAATGTGTATATTTTTGAACTCATTTTTAAAATGAAATAATTATAAATATAAAATTAAAAAATAAAATCTTTAAATATATTTTATTTAAAACATTTTTAGTTAAGACTAAATATTTGTAATCACTAAAATGGCTATTAATACATTCACGATACAAAAATATTATACAAAACAGATATTGTAGAAGAAAAAACCTTAAATAAAAGACAAATTCTTGGTTTTTCAAATGAAAATATGTTTGAAACAAGAATATAAAATGATGTCTTATCATATGATTTTTAAACAGTCCCTTAAACAGATAGTTCACCCAAAACTGAAAATGTTGTCATCATTTACTCACCCGAATGTTGTTCGCGGAACAACACGAGGGTGAGTAAATGACAGAATTTTCATTTTTGGTTGAACTATCCCTTAAGTGACTTGCCAGTTTAAATATATGTGAAATACATAATTTTTATTTTATGTTGTACACATCGTTATCACTATTTAACATATTTTCTAATGTTTTTTAATTAAGCATTTTTCAACCATATCTAATTTGTATTTAAGAACAAAAGTTTTATTCACAATGACTGCCTGGCATGAGGGTATTGTCCTCTAAAAGCAGAAAGGAGAGGAACACAAAACCACTTGACATAAAGTAATTAGATGAAAACATTAATTGAAAATGCAATGTGTTGAATATGAATACATCTACTGTTATTAAGTCTTTCATAAACCTAGGGCCTTAAATCTCAGTGATTGTTTGGTTTGTGGTTGGTTTTGGTTCTGTTTTTTACAAAAAGATACATTGTGTTTGTCTTTGCACTGCTGCTCAAGGGGCTTCTCACAGCTGGTTTCCATCTTCCTCCATGCGCTTTGACAAAATGCTCTGCAAATGTCTTTTGACTATAATCTGCAAGCGATGAACCCGTGTTGACAGGAGCCCTGTGTTCACGTTTTCCCCCATCAGAGGGACAGTGATTTGATGACATCTTCATCCAGGCCCGGGCAGCCATTACAAACACAATCTGTGTGACTGCAGCATGCAGAAATACAACAGAGCAGAGAGAGCTGGATCTGCAGATCCTCTTTGATTGCGGGTGGGAGAGCAATACAATCCAGATGGCAAAAGATAGTTATCCACCCTGTGCACACACGGACACTGTGCCAGACTCTGCTCTTGTCCAGAGATAATTGGTAAAACATCTCCTCTGTAGTTTCCATGTGGAGAGAGAGAGAGATGGAGTAAATTTCTAACATCTCAGCTGTGCAGGTTCTCTGACAAGCCAAAGAGATGACAGCCTCAAAACTGAAACTTTTCCTTGAAGAACATTAGAAATTGCTAGGGTTGTTTTATCGAGCCGGATACGGCACGATATGTCCAACTTACACAAGATATACGTTTTACGGGAAAATGGAGCCAAAAGTATCTTCAATCAAACAATTTTTTTTTCATTCTCCAGTGGAAACTGGAGTGAAACTCAAACCACAAGGACTGTTGTCATCCATCCGATACTGTATCTCGCAAAACATATTATATGAGAAAAAAAAAAGAACTTGGTTATTGGGTTATAATTTTTCATACCCATTTGCAGTCTTTTCAAAGGTGAAGAAAGTTATTCTGTTTCCTTGGACAACAATATGCACAATAATCTCACTATGGAAGCTTGTTTTTCTTAGAATTATGAGATATAAACTCTAAATTGCAGGTTATAAAGTCAGAACTGCGTGTTATAATCTCACAATTGCGAAATATCAAGTCCAATTAGAGGGATTTTTTTCTTCTTCTCAGAATTCCGAGTTTATATCTCACAATTTTGACTTTATAACTCGCAATTATGAGGAAAAAAAATCAGTCAGTCAGAATTGCTCGGACTTTGAAATACTTTAGAAAGCTAATTCATACAATTTAAAATGATTGTGTAATCTTAATATATTTTTAGTAGTGGAAAGTTGGCTAGCTATAACTAGCTAAGCTTCTTTGCTAATTGTTGACACAACCCACTAAACATTGGACGTCGGATAGACGTGCAGATCATGTCTATATTGGGTCCGTCGGTCCATGACCAATTGTGGACGTCTATTCGACGTCCAAACTAGGTCTGTTATTTGGACGTCCAACCATGACCCAACTTGGACGTCATCTTGACGTCCAACATTTGACCTTAAACTGGGTAACTTTTTTTGGACGGCATTTGGACGTCTTTTGACAGTTGCTGGAAATTATTGATTTGTAATATTTGTTTTATTTTTATTTTTTTATTTATATATAAATACGCCCCTCTACAATAAAAATAAAATCAAAAGCAAATATGGTATACAAATATCATAGAACTAAAAAAATTAGTTTTAACTTCATGATTTAATATTAATGACATTATACATTATTATAAGATGTTTTTCTTAATGCTGCGTGCGTGCCTTTGATGCGCGTGCGCGTGAACATTCAAATCACAGGAGCGCGCGAGCAGTTTGAATTGAAACAGGAAGCGTCGTGCCGTCGTCAACTGACAAACACCAACTAGCGTCTCTCGCTGTTGTCACTGCGTTCAGGTAAGTTAAGTTAACAAAATCACACAAATACTACATAAAAATGTTCCTGACACCTTTATTGTGTGTAATTGATACGCTTCTGTTGAATATTTACTTTATAGAAATGATTTTGGGTCTTCGAAAAAGTCCGTTAGCATCTCAATCGTTTTCAGAAGAGGCTAGCAGCTAAGTTAGCTAAGGTAAGTTACTCTGAAGCTGTTTTGTATAAGTTTGGGGTTTTATCTTTGTGTAGATAATAATTTTTGATAGTTTTTTTGCTGGTAATTTACAATGGGTAACGTTAAGCTAATTTATTTAGCCTAAAATAATGCGATGTATTATTAATCAGTGACGTCACTTAACGTTACAAAGATTGATTAAAAAAAGTGATTTCATGAGGAAAAAACGTCCACAATAAAAGGGGGATTTATTGTTTATTCATGATAGTAATGTCATATGCATTTATTTAATAATATTTATGTATATACTTTCTCTTTTCTTAGCTAGAGGAGAGGTGAAATGCAGAAAAGAGAAATTATATATGCTTGCTTCCTTGTAATAAACCCTATGTTCTAATCCTATGTAACATTGTTGGCTGTGACACATTGCATGTTATTTTCTAAGATCATGTTGATGTCCTAAGTTACTGCACCCCCTGTCCAAGACAATCTCCACGGCTATGAACTCGACTAGTAAGCAAAACCTCAAACATACTGTACTCTACTGTTCAAAAGTTCTAGGTCTGTAGGATTTATGCTTTTGAAAGAAGTCTTAACCCCAGTTTTTTTTTTTTTTTTTTTTTTTTTGTGAGATTGTCCTTAAGAAGCCTTTAGGCTAAATAATCAGCTAAATAATAGATGGCAAATATCATGTTATAAAGGTCATAATTATAATAATGAATTTAACTATTATGATAACAGAATATCATGGTCATTGGTATTTTTATTTTATTTCTCTAGGTGTGTTTTGAAATAAGTTGTCCAATGAGACATCGTACTGTCCAACTCAAAGGTATTTATTTATTTTTATGTATTTTTTTACTGATAAATACTGAAATTCTTTTTACTTTTAAATGCTGAATTCAGGGGGTCGACAACTTTAGGTACGCAAGTTATTTTTCACAGATATCTGGCCAGTTTACTCATGGCTCATACTCTTAGCCTTTATGTTTAAATGTTTGAATTTATATCTGCAATAGAATATTTGCAATATTAACCCTATCAGGGGGTAAAGATATCATTAGAGTTCTTTAAGGAGTAGTTCACTTTTGAAAGCTTTTGCTGATAATTTACTCACCCCCATGTCATCCAAGATGTCCATGTCTTTCTTTTTTCAGTCAAAAAGAAATTAAGGTTTTTGAAAACATTCCAGGATTATTCCAGTATTTTCTCCATATAATGGAGTTCAATGGGAACGGTTCAAGGTCCAACTGAGAGTTTCAGTTCAGCTTCAAAGGGCTTTAAAAACACCAGACAATGAATAAGGGACTTATCTAGCGAAACGATCGCTCATTAATAAATAAATAAAAAAGTTTAAGTTTTATGAGCACAAATGCTTGCCTTGCTCTGTTCTGTGATGAGCGTTCGTGACTCTCCTGTTTGAACTCGTTCATCAAAATGAACTAATCTTTTTTCGAGTCATGACTCAAAGGGTCCTTGATAAGACCCTTATTCATCATCTGGAATCGTTTAAAGCCCTTTGAAGCTGCACTGAAACTGTCTTTTAGACCTTGAACCGTTTGGTTCCCAGTAAAGTCCATTATATGGAGAAAAATCCTGGAATGTTTTCATCAAAAACCTTAATTTCTTTTCGACTGAAGAAAGAATGACATGGATTTCTTAGATGACATGGGGCAGAGTAAATTATCAGCAAAAGCTTTTTTTATTTATTTTTTTAAATTTGAACTACTCCTTTAACCCTTCAAAGTCTGACTGATTAAATCATATTTGAAAGCAAAGTTAAAAGTAACAGATCTCAATATTATTCTCCTCTCATGGCATAAAGGTGAGTCAGTACAAACTGTTATACCTCTGGGTATGAATGACTTCCTGTGGTGGTCCTTATTACTTTGAAGTTGAAGTAGCCTTCAACTGAAAACAGTCTGCTCTGACAAATAGTTGATGTGTTGTATTATCAGGGATACTCCACTTTGTCTGGAAATTGGCTAATTTTACAAATCCCTCAGAGTTAAACAGTTGAGTTTTACTATTTACGATTTTCTGATATTTAGAAGAGTATCAGTAACCAGACAGTTTCTGGTCCCATTGACTTCCATAATATATGTTTTTCCCACTATGGAAGTCAATGAGAACAGAAACTATCTGGTTACTGATATACTCTTCTAAATATCAGAAAATTTGCTGAATGATTTAGAAAATGGTAAAACCCAACTGTTTAACTTTAGGGGAGTTGTACAATGAGCCTATTTCATAAAAAGTGGAGTATCCCTTTAATCCCTTTTTTTTTTTTTGTGCAAAATTATTCTCAATAGTAATTTTTATTGAGTCCAATGTGTTTCCAAGTAGAGCCCTGCGCAGGACTATTTTCCTCACCCCGCCGAATCTCTGACCATTACCGCCCGCTCCCGCAACGGATGTTACACTCCCGTGGGACCCGGCGGTACTCAATCCCAATGCAGCCCTCTACCAAGCACAAAGCTAACTTTTGTAAATTGCACAAAGCACAACAGGTTGATACAACTGAACGTTATTACAAACTGTTATTTCAGTGTTTTAAGTAATTTATAAGTGGTTGATGATGAACTAATCATATACAAAACATTCATAAATGTTTAGCAAGTGATATGCTAACACTTCATGTATGTTTTGTAAATTATTACAAGTCATTTACAATTGAATAGTCATGTTTTGTAAATTATTAATCATTACGTTTCATAAATGTCAGGTGCCTAGTGGTTAGACTCCTTGTGTTTTAGAGAAGACAGCTGTCTACAACCTCACTAGTCAGCAATTACACTGCAGTACACACTACAGTGTTCAACACCTGTTATAGATGTGTAAAGGCATGAATTAATCATTTACACTTTCTGCATAAAGTGTGAACTATTCATCACTTGTAAATGTCTTACACTTCATTCGTAGATTACCACTTCAAGAATCAATAAGGCATAAGATCTACGCATGCTTTGTAACACATTTACTAGCGATTACTATACACTTTAGATTAGGGGATACAGAAAGTGTTGTAAATGACTTATTCATGCATTTACACACTGTTAAAAACTGTTACTTACCTGTTTCAAATGATATGTACATGAATACAAGACATTTACAACACTTCCCCCTCTAATTGCTAGATGCATACATTATTATTTTTTTCATTTATGAAACGTATATTCATGTTTTATACATTAACAATTTACTAATAACTTGTAAATGACTTGTAACGGAATTGACAAAACATTCATAAATGATTAGCAAATGATACTAATATTTTCAAAGTAGTTCATTAACTAACCACTTACAGACTTACAACTGAACGTTATTATAAGGTGTTGACAATGGTCAACATTCTAATGCACACATTAAAGAATGCAAGCTTTCTAAAAAAAGTGCAGTCTGCTTAGTGCCTCTTTGTAGACAGCCTAAGTGTTAGTTAACAGTTGCTGAGATGGCTTAGTATTTATCCAGTAATGGATGCAAGGAAACATATTTTTGCTTACAAATGTGGGGCCTTTGGTGAATGATTGCAGATTGCCGTTGCATATATCTAAATCATATATTTTTCTGCTTGTGTAGGAGGGATCATGAAATTTGATTCTGCAGCCACAGAGAAGTAAATCAAGATGCATGTTTCTGAGCACCTCAAGCACGCGCCGCAAAGATTGGAGGTAGAGGATTCACAACTCCCTGATGAGCCAAGACGAGAGGACTTGAATTATAAATTAAATTACAATCTAGTTATTTGTTCATAATTGTGCTTTACTGTGGCCCTTCAATGACAATCTAATTATTTGTTCATAATTAAATTAAATTACAATTTTACACTACAGTGTTTAACACCTGTTATAGATGTGTAAAGGCATGAATTAATCATTTGCACTTTCTGCATAAAGTGTGAACTATTCATCACTTGTAAATGTCTTACACTACATTCATAGAGATCTACTAACTAATTATTTGTTCATAATTGTGCTAGATATATTTGGTGCCCTTCAATTGCAATCTAATTATTTGTTCATAATTAAATTACAATCTAATTATTTGTACATAATTGTGCTTGATATGTCCAGTGCCCTTCTGATGCTATTCATGGCAATTTATTTTTGAATAAAGATTAAAATGGTGATTATTGAATTGTGATTTATTTGTATGTGTATTACTGTAATGTTGTAAAGTCATATAAGTTAGAAAAACGACGTATAATATAAGTCTAAATTTGACGTTGAAAAGACGTCCAAAAGTAACCACATTTGGACTATAAATAGCCCTTACACGGAGGTCCCACAGACGTCCAAATTAGACGTGCAGTTGACGTCGAAAAAAAGACGTCGTCTGGCGTTACAAAACAACCCCTTCATTGGACCGAATTTGGACGTCCAAAAATGACACGAAAAAGACGTCACATCGACGTCACGTTGCGCAGTGGGAATGCTTTGATAGCATCAGCACAGCATATCACTTGCTGAATGAGTACAGCAATATAAAACAATTAACATACACTTCTCAAACCAAGCTCATGCTGGAGTGAGTGGTGAAACTTGCCATACTGGGAGGGTCTGGTGGATGATGACCCCTACACCCGTGACCCGACCCGAGAGAGCGGTGACTCTCTCGATGAATGCTCAATCAACATCAGCCATCTTGCAAACAGACAACCGCCTAGCATTTCTCATTCGCACGTCAATTTTTCTTCAAACGTTTGCTTTTTGTGCGCGAATGGATTCAAAATGTTTAAGCGTCCAACTAGACGCGGTAGATGTGAATTTGACGCTCTATTTGCGCTTGATGTGAAAGCAGCATAAGGGTTTACAGTGTACATCATGTTTCCAGTAGTACAAAATTGTCCATAGTTTGCGAGATTAAAATGGGAAAAATATCTTAGCCCAATCCTTTATTCCAGCGCAGTCTCATCCCAAGAAGTCATATAACTGACGTCTTGGGACGTCTTTTGACCATACGTCAACATCCGCCTTTTTAGGGTACTCTTTAATGTCGGTTAAATGACGTTATCGGATCCTAACCCTACCCCAGACCTAAACCTACCCCGTCCCAGGATCGTCATGTAACTGACGTTAAAGGGTACCCTAAAACGGCGGATGTTGACGTATGGTCAGTTATATGACGTCTTGGGATGAGACTGTGTTATTTATTCTACGCTTTTGGCATCAGTAGCAAACACTGTCGAATTAAGTTTGAATCTCTCTCTCTCTCTCTCTCTTTAATCAGCACCAGCAAGATTGGTCACATCTCGTCCCATCACCTCTCAGGCTGTATCTTCATCCGCGGCTCCCACAGTGAGGCCCATCAGCAAAATGGACGCCCCCCTTCCTAAAACGACCTCCACTCACCTCTCGACAGAGTCAAACGAAGCTCCAAGCAAGACCTCGGTCACCAAAGCTGCCACCAGTACGAGTCAGAGAACTGGCAAGTAGTTGTTTCCATTGTTCTGTCTCTACATGTCCACAGATGGCCAGGAAACAAAACCGTGAGGGTTTCGTTTGGAGCCAATTCGCCCACTGCTGGTGTCATGACATTGCAGAAAACGATTCTTTGTCTTTCCCTGACGCAGCGTGATGTCCGTTCAATCCCCCTAGAGTCATTTCCTTTGCTGGGTTTTTTTTTTGTGTTTGTGATGTTCCCAGGAAATGATTTTCCTCCAGCTGCTAAGCACAAAGCAAGACAAGCCCTGCTGGCATGCCTTTGTGCACCCACCTCTTACCCTCTCGTCTTGGTATAATGCCTGAAATTAGCGATTCTAATTAGCCATGCCGGGCATTCAGGCTCTCTGTGAGACTCGACGGAGCAAGGTTAGGTAAAGGACGTCTCTCACTCACTATTTCGAAGAGTAGGCCCTATTACTCAAATGGCACGTAGTCAAATCAGTTGCATAATCCTGCAGGAAAGTGAAATCACAAATGAGATCTCTTCAATATACTGTATCATTTGTTTCTTCTGCAATGAGATGCAAATTAGATTTTCGGTTAAGTCTTAAATCTCTCATTTTTTTATATTTTAGAGGAGACACTCTACAAATTATTACTTGTGCCTTTTTCTCAGGAGAAAATCTACAACACGAGATGTTAACAATTTTCTCCATCAGCTCTCCATCCAATCTCATTGTTCTTTACCTGACATAACTGAGATGTTGAGTTTTGAGAAAGATCTAATGTCTCAAATTGTGCTCACATTTTGACATCTGTAATTCATATGGTCTCAATATGAACTCCAACCATTGCTTTCTCAGCAAATCTAAAACTCTTGAGGAGACATATTGTATTTGAGATTGCAGACTTGTTTAGCAGGACGGGGAAAAAAACCAAACATGTTTAATGTCTGAAAGATCTCCTGGGCAAAAACACCTTAGTAATATTATTTTCTTGAGTAGTTGGAAAGAGATCTCAAAAACGTCACAAATTTCCAACATGACATCATGACTTTAGCGTAAACATACATGCCATTTTCAAGTCAAGTGGCGTGTTATCTATACGCATTTTGAGCTATCCGCGTGTATTCGTGTATGTCTACGCCGTTAAATGTCTGCGTGATTCCGCGTGTATGTACACGCCGTTAAATGTCCGAGCGAAACGAAACAAAATATAGATCTACATCTGGGGAGCGATATTTTTTTCCTAGGATGGTAGGGGAAGACTAATAAATGGTATTAACCCCAGTGACGGGTAGGTTTAGGGACGGGGTTGGGGCAGGTCATAGATTTATATATACAGTAATGTAGCGTTAAGTCAACGGCGCAGTGTTGTAGTACTCGAGACTCGGACTCGTCTCGGACTCGGTCTCGAGACCATATTTTAATGGTCTTGGTCTTGTCATGGACTCCTGTCCATTTGGACTCGGAATTGACTCGTACTCGAACATTTTTTTTTTTAGGACTCGGACTTATTCCCGAGTCCACTCGAATTCAATTAAAAATATTTTTCATGATCATTAATGTATGTTAATAAAATATTTCTTGGTAACACTTTAAAATAATGGTCAGTAGTTAACAAGTAGCTATGCAGGAAGTAATAGGTAGTACTGCATTAACACCGAAGTTAATACTATTAACTAATATGGAAGCAATATTAACTAATCATTAAGTAACAGGTAATTTAGTACAAAGGTAGTTCCTTGGTAGGTATTTGATTGTTACTAAAGAAATATATCCTCATTGAGAACTACTTGTGAACTAAGAAATAATAACCAATTAATTACTAATCACAAAAGTAACATGTCTAAAAAGTGAACAATTGTGGGGGTTTTATACTCTTAACATGGTCATAACATTTCAGAAGCATGAGTTCTTTGTGGCAACAAGTTTATGAATATTACATCCCCCCAAATACATTAGCTAGGTTGAGATTGTGACTACTACTCTTGCCAGGATGGACGCATGTTCTCTGTTTATTTAAAACTTAAACATAAAATAATACTAATAAAGACAGTTTTTAAAAATAAACCTTAAATAATTAGGAAGTGATGCTGACACTCTCATGATTGGATTAGTTCACTATTATAACTATGTTCCAGTAGCTGCCTGAGGAGGACTTCTCTTTAGGACATGAATATAAACATTGATGTTCACTTGTCAAAAACAATTAGCATCTTTAATGAAGAAATTGGCTGCGTTTATGTTACGATAAGCGCAAAAACACATCTTCCAGATTACAGTGTTTGTTAGAATATTAGTGCCTCACAGAACCTGTACAGTATATGTCAAATATAAAATTAAATTACTTTTATCATTTGTGAAAAACATGTTAACTCCTCAATAACTACTTAAGCGTTACCTTGTCATCCCGCAGGAACTACTAGTGATGTGGCCCATTATTTTAAAGTGAAAAACATGTTAACTCCTAACTAACTACAAGCGTTAGCTAACATAAATGCAGCCAATTTCTTCCTTAAAGATACAAATTGTTTTTGACAAGTGAACATCAATGTTTATATTCATGTGCTAAAGAGAAGTCCTCCTCAGGAAGCTACTATAACATAAAGTTATAGGTCTTTGGAGTCTGAGATATGTGTGACTGACATTCAATAGAGCTCATAATAGTGAACTAATCCAATCATGAGAGTGTCAGCATCACTTCCTAATTATTTAAGGTTTATTTTTAAAAACTGTCTTTATTAGTATTATTTTATGTTTAAGTTTTAAATAAACAGAGAACATGCGTCCATCCTGGCAAGAGTAGTAGTCACAATCTCAACCTAGCTAATGTATTTGGGGGGATGTAATATTCATAAACTTGTTGCCACAAAGAACTCATGCTTCTGAAATGTTATGACCATGTTAAGAGTATAAAACCCCCACAATTGTTCACTTTTTAGACATGTTACTTTTGTGATTAGTAATTAATTGGTTATTATTTCTTAGTTCACAAGTAGTTCTCAATGAGGATATATTTCTTTAGTAACAATCAAATACCTACCAAGGAACTACCTTTGTACTAAATTACCTGTTACTTAATGATTAGTTAATATTGCTTCCATATTAGTTAATAGTATTAACTTCGGTGTTAATGCAGTACTACCTATTACTTCCTGCATAGCTACTTGTTAACTACGGACCATTATTTTAAAGTGTTACCTATTTCTTTAAATTGATTGACACGCCCAGTGATTGGTGATTTTCTAGTGCGCAACTGCGCATGACAAATTGTAATAAAATTACTTTTAACACCACCTACTATGTGGCCTTTTTACCCTAAACTGATCATATTTTTTAAACTCTAAGTAAATTCAGTAAAAAAAAAAAAAAAAAAGGATTTCTCTAAGTAAATAAAAGTAAATTAGGTAATCAACCCTCACTGGTCTCTGGTCTCGGACTCGACTCTCTATGGACTCGGTCTTGACTCAGACTCGACTCTCTCTGGTCTCGGTGTCGACTCGGACTCGAGTGAGGTGGTCTCGACTACAACACTGCAACGGCGTTCATAAACACGCTGAAAAGTGATTATGCGTGTTGATAGCACGCCAAAAATGGAAATACGAATTGGCGTGTCAAACATACGCCATTTCATGAGATCAGTCTGCAAATTTCCATCACTTTTACAAGACACGGCAGTCTGCACTCAAGAGTAAAATGTTTAAATATGACATTTCTTATCAAATTCTTGTTGGTTCCATAAACTCTAAAGGAGTCACGACTGAGATTTATTGGGGTCTTTTTTTTCTCAGCAGAAAAACTAAAAGAACCAGATGTACAGAGTTAAATTATTTATGTTAAACTGGGTGTTTTGCATCATTATAAGACATTTGACTTGAACATGATTGGGAGAGAGATTTAGAAATCTCATGAGAAATAGAGCACACAAGTCATAAGACCTATGTGTATAGAACCTTGTTGCAAATAGCTCAGGGGTCTAACAATATTTGCTGGGACTGGCACAACAGGCCCCTGGAGGACATCAGTATGGGGGATGTAAATTGGCTTTATGGCTCTGTTCCCTCTTCTCATCATCCCTCTCTTCTCCTTTTCACTCCCTCCGGTTATGTCCTCTGGGAGTAAAATGGAAAGATAGAAAGAAGAGACATCAACCACAGAGACTGGACAGGGTTCCCAAGGGAATATTTGTTCTCTAACCAGCTTTGCAAAGAAACCTTTGCAGATTTGTGTTTTTATTTTAGATAGATAGATAGATAGATAGAAAATTTATTAATCCCGGTAGGGAAACTGGTTTGCCACCAACCGTACAACCATAAACACAGTACACAACTAACAGACAAATAAATAAATAAATAAATATGCATTAAAAGAATGACAAAAACCTGATAAGACACAACTACAAGAAATATTCAATTTCACAGTGCAAAAATAATCAAACACTAACTCTATTAAAGGCCTGGATGTCACTCAATAATTAACAGTGTTCATTAAAATATCTGACTGCTGCTGGGACAAAAGATCTTCTCATCCGCTCACTAGAACACCGAGGCAGAACCAGTCGCTCACTGAAAGAGCTTCTGAGTCCCCTAAACAAATTGTGTAGTGGATGGCCTTCAAAAAGCAGGACAGTTTTCAATTTTGAATGTATCCTCTTCTCCACAGTAACCTCCAATGCATCTGGGTTAAGACCAATAACTGAACCAGCTCTCTTGATCAGTTTATTTATCCTATTTTTGTCCTCAACAGATATACTGCCCCCCCAGCAAAGTACAGCATAAAAAAGAACACTAGCTAAAATCCCTTGATAAAAAACATTTAAGAGCTTTGTGCTGATATTAAATGATCTTAGTTTTCTCAAAAAGAACAGTCTCGACTGAGCCTTCTTCATCACAACACTAGTGTTCTCTTTCCAGTTTAGTTTTTCATCCAAATGAACGCCCAAAAAAGTATATGACTGCACAATCTCGATCTCTTCGCCATCAATTCTAACTGGGAGGACCTTCTCTTTTTTCTTTCTGAAGTCAATCACAAGTTCTTTGGTCTTCCCAATGTTCAGTTTCAGAAAGTTTGAATCACACCAATTATAAAAAGACTGAACCTCCATTCGGTAAGCAAGATCATCACCCTTATTAAGTAGACCTACTAAAGCAGTGTCGTCAGAAAATTTTTGTATCCAGCAGGATGGCTGACTATGCCTATAATCAGCCGTATAAAGTGAAAATAAAAAGGGGGATAAAACTGTACCCTGAGGTGCTCCCGTATTAGTTAAAATGGTATTAGAATGTTTGTTACCCATCCTAACAAACTGTGGTCGTTTTTTTTATTACCACACAATCATTTTTCTTCAAAAATAGTTTTGAGCAATGAAAATGAGACAGATGATCTACAGTAAGACTTTTTACATTTTAAGATTTTCAGACTTGCCTTTTTCAGATTTTTGAATGCAGACTTTGAAAATACGAGAACAGTTTGATAATGTTAAGATTTTAAACATTTCAGTCGTTAAACATTAAACCAGAATGTATTAATAATTTACCTTCATAATCCAAATTGCAGTCTAAAAGAAACAATAGTGACATTCAAGAGATTTGGGATTCTCCTTTTTTATGGAAAGCTGTGGATTGTCTATAATTGACAGATTAAGCACATCGTTTCTCTCCCTCTATGCAGAGATCATTTTAATTTTACAAACTCAGAGGGTCAATGTAGACGGGGACCCCGTGTAATTGTTTGGAATTGCCGTCTGTATTTTAAAGGTTATTACCAATGTAGAAACATTAATTAATAGGATCCCAATAGAGACTCTTACATTGGAGTTACTGTGTGCCACAAACCCAAAGGTTAAATGAATTCTTGTCGTTCTCAGGTACCCTGTTCGTCCTTTTGTAAATACTAATTGAAAATGAAATTAGACAGTGTCCCCAATGGCCGTTTGTCCCCAGGCAGCACTCAAAGCAATTTGAACAATACGTCTCCTTGTCGAACCCTCGTTTGCACTTACCTTTCTTGTCTATGTCATAATTAATGCGAGATTGACGACAGGGGATTTGTAAAGTCCACAAAGATTTGCTATCCCATGAGTCATCTTTTCCGAAAGGTAGTTAAGGCCAGAGTTTGGGGAACTGGGACAAATAGCACTCTCTGGAAAGACGCTATCATCCTTGGGAGCACCTCATCTCTTGCTAACACAGTCTTACCGGCTTGCAAATTGCCTGCCATCACACTTATGGAGGAAATTGAAATGGCAAGCAGAGGGGATGCAAGCTGTCACCCCCTCGGCCAATAAATCCTGCCGTTGTCTAAGGGATTTGTGCTGACCTTGCGAAAATGGGACAAAAAGCCCGGGCAATAACCCTTGATATGTGTAATCAGAGGGCCGATAAATCTATTTTTAATGGAAGACAGCTGCTAACTCTTTCATCTTTCTCTGCATCGCTGGCAGAGGGCAGGCGTCTTGTTTTATTTGACATGGCACGTGAAGCTCGACAGAACAGGTGCATGCATGTGGGTGATTGTGAGCAAGATGAGGGCGTACTTATTCAATAAAATATGGTGATGTGATATGGTGAACCCCATTGACTGCTGCTAAAATCATTTGCCCAGATGAGTCTTGTAGCCTCTATGTGGTGGAGTAAAAAGGATGCCAGCTTGTTTAGTTGTGGATAAAACTATGGGGTAACTTTTAGTCTCAGGAAATGGTGTAAAGATTTCAGGTTATTGCTTCACACCACATCTTCCCTAGTGTATGAGCGAGACCTCAATTTACCTGCATAGCTAATCCTTAACCAATCTGTAGCGGCTGTATCCTTAACCACGTGAGACTGTGAAATTGTTGGTAGGAGTTGAAGTAAAGGTGAAAGCACCAGAGGATCCAGAACCCAGAGAGGTTCTGACCCTAATTCACATCAATCTCCTTCTAAAATGCTAATGAGTAGGAGTAAAGGCTGACTGAACTTAAATTCAAAATTGATGGCAAACTTAAAGCTACACTGTGTGATTTTTACCCCCATCTAACGGTGAGAAGGTATATGACCATCCAGTGAATATTAGTTTCTGTTCCTCTCAATTCCGATTTTGTTTTAACTCCTACGGTGCCCAAAGTAGTCCAAGATTAACATGGCTTCCAGTTCGACCTCGTCCATGAGTGTTAACTCAAACGTAAACGCGAAAGGCAAAGCTTGAATTAACAGGTAAGTCCCTCTTTGGCTAACGTACTTTCAAGATGGAGGGGCAACATGGCGACCGACATTAGAACGCCTTTCCCGTGTATTTTCAATGGCATATTATACACTCACGAGAATACTTTATTACTTAAACGCAGTAAATGTACATGAATGAGCACATATATATATATATATATATATATATATATATAGCTTTAAAAAGCAACCATGTCATGTTTCTCTACTTCAGGTTTTCCCAACGGACTAAATATGACATTCAAGTGTGCAAGTAGGCCGTGTTTTCCTGGAGTTCAGTGCATTGACCTCCGGCCACCCTACACTGGCTATGTCTGCGGACGATGTCCACCAGGTTATCACGGCAATGGACGTACATGCACGAAACAATCAAAGCATAGCCGTAAGTACTTTTCGAAACATTGCTGTCAGTTCTTCGAATCAATGGAAAGCCTAAATGAGTCAACTGGATTTAATTTATTTTTTGGCTGAATTATATTATTTAGAGCTCCTTTAATCAACACAAAACTAAACAGAACTTTTTCAAAGTTGTTTCATCCCCATGAAGTCTTAAATTGCATTTTAGATTTGTTTTAAAAAAAATCATCTGTTACTGTTTTCCCCTTCAATCCATTCTTAATCCTCCTTGTTTCATCTCCCAAAAGCGCAGAGCTCCAGTAATTAGAGAAAAACATAACGAATAGAAAACAAGGCTTTCGTAATCCTCAGAACGCGACAGGTGCTTTGATACGGTTGATAACTAAGACCTGGAAACGTCTAATGCTCAGTCATGCACTAGGCTGCGGCATGGTGGTTGCTGACCCACAATGTGTTTTTGGCTGATGAGAATAGGGAACAGAAAGAGACAGTAAGGCATTAGGAAAAGAATGTGTAAACTCATTTAGAAAAGGGATGAGGAGAGGAAGAGTTTTAGTTCTTTGGTCTTTGATTCTCTCTCTTTTTTTTAATTTGAAAAGCAAAACTACCAGACTGCATCTTATCCTTTCTTATCCCCGGAGTACAGTATGTTACATTTCACTCAATGGAAATGTTGTTAGACTTCTTAATCTGTTATTTTGCTAGACAAATCCCTCGAATACATTTTCCTATGCTGCAGTATCGCATCACGACGGTAAAAGCCTTCAGAGCTAGGTAATGACTTTTAATGCATTTCCCTTGTGAATGGGCCACTGCTGGAATCATTCCTAATAGTGCTGTTATCAGAAGTGAATCCATGAGCAGCCACAGTGGGAACTAGAAAAGAAACAGCTTCATTCTGCTAATTCCCTCATTGTCGCCACATGCGGCCCAGATTCCTACACACTCAAAAACGGCAGTGTGTCTCTATTGTTAGCATTGTGTTTTGTTGTATTGCGTCTTTGTTCCTTGCTTGCGGATGGGGGACAGAATAAATCTTTTTGAGAGGCCAAAGCGACTATATGTTGTTTATGAGTAAATCTACCAGCGTCACCAAATGTTTTAAGCTAGTACTGAGCACTATTTCATCATAACTGCACTTCTGATGGTCTCATTGTGCAAAATCTTCAAAGGGCTGTTCGAGATCTCCAGAGGATTTTGCATGAATGATAACTGCAGAATACAGTCAATCTCTTCCTTTTATTTTGGTGTCCTTATTCTTTTTTTTTTTTTTTTTGCTTGGTAATGAGCTTAACCATGCCTTGTTGTGGCTGACAAGTAAACTTTGTAAAGCTGAACAAAAAGTATTTACTTTTCATATGTTGCTTGCCATCTTGCGTAATAAGCTTGTCCTCTCATCTAGCACCCCGCTACTCACCGCAACTGACCCAAGCCAAGAACAACCTACCCCATGTCTCCCACAGTGTTCCCCATCTGCACCTCCCCGTCCTTCCATTCAGGCAACCTCAGAGACGCCTAGGGGGGACCCCACACCGTCAGGCCACCTCTCACATCCACTACCCGCCAACCTTCCCACCTGTTACAGGGAAAGGGGCGCTGATGGCGGGACACACACCTACCTCAACCAACAGCAGGGATCGACTCCTTTCTCGCTCCCACAATCAACTGAAAGTTCTTCCAAGTCCAGAGGAGCGAGATGCTTCATTTAAAGTCTCGGCACATGGATTTGCAGGCGTCATGCCTGGAAAAGACTCTTTACCTCACACTTCGAGGCATGTCGAGGCACTGAGGCAGCAATCCAGTCTGGCCACAATTACCCGATCCCAACCTTTGACACCTCCCGACAACCAGCAACCATTAACAGCAGCCCTAACCTCCCTCTCCTTCTCCTTCTCGGAGACCGAGTTCTCTGCAGATGGAGGCCTTGGGACTGGAATACAAGACCCATACGAGACTCAACCACTGCCCAAGGAGAGCTTCTCCTACCTTGGTGAACAAAGCAACACCCAATCTCTGGATAACCAACCAACTCTTCAGAACCGTAAACACCAAAGCAAGAGTGGAAATGTGGTTCTGTTAGAGGAGAGAAGCTTCACCTGTGCAGATGTCCCTTGCTTCCCAGGTGTCCACTGTGAGCTTGCAGGTGACGGGCAACCTAGGTGCGGTCGGTGTCCTTTGGGATACACTGGAGATGGCCGAATGTGCAGAGGTAATTTTAGATGTATAGATGACTTTTTTGAGTTTGTCTTACTTGAGTACTTACACTGTCAAAAAAAGTGTAAAAAATATTGCCCCTTTAGATGTACAACATCACTTGACGGTACCCTAAATATTGAAAACTGTGTATATTAGTACCTTATGTAACGGAGGCCAGCTAGTAGTTGCTGTGCAAGTAAACCTCACTCCTCTAATCTCAATAGGCGCTCTAGCGACAGATGCTAGAGGCTGCAGTCTTTAGCCTCCTTGTTAGAGCATCCGACTCTCATGCCGGAGACGTGGAGGGGTTACACTTAGTAATAAAAAGTGCATATTAGTACCATAAAGTAGTATGTACCCGTAAAGGATTAGTTCACTTTTGAAAAAACTTTTGCTGATAATTTACTCAGCCCCATGTCATCCAAAATGTCCATGTCTTTCTTTCCTCAGTCGAAAAGAAATTATGGTTTTTGATGAAAACATTCCAGGATTTTTCTCCATATAATGGACTTCAATGGGAACCAGACAGTCCAAGGTCCAAAAGACAGTTAATAACAGTTTCAGATGCAGCTTCAAATGTCTTTAAACGACACCAGACGATGAATAAGGGTCTTATCATGCGAAACGATCGGTTATTTCAAAACTTATTCCAAAAATGTAACTTTTCTAAGGACAAATGCCAGCCTTGTTGTATTCTGTGAGGCGCGTTTGTACGGTCACGTAATACGCAATTACGTTCAAAAGTTCACGGGCGACGTAGCCGGAAGTACAGAGTCAGAGTGTTTACAAGTTGAACGCATAGGTTGAACGTGCAAACTAACTCAAACGGCGTTTACAAAAAAAAAGGAATTAAAAGGTAAAACAACGATGTCGGACGATTTTGATTCTGTACTTACGTCGCCCGTGACCTTTTGAACGTAATTACGTATTACGTGACGTTACAAACGCGCCTCACAGAATAGAGCAAGGCTAGCATTTATCCTTAGAAAAGTTACATTTTTGGAATAAGATTTGAAATAACCGATCGTTTCGCATGATAAGACCCTTATTCATCGTCTGGTGTCGTTTAAAGACATTTGAAGCTGCATCTGAAACTATTATTAACTGTCTTTTGGACCTTGGACCGTCTGGTTCCCATTGAAGTCCATTATATGGAGAAAAATCCTGGAATGTTTTCATCAAAAACCTTAATTTCTTTTCGACTGAGGAAAGAAAGACATGGACATCGTGGATGACATGGGGGTGAGTAAATTATCAGTAAAAGTTTTTTCAAAAGTGAACTAATCCTTTAAAGATACTACTAGGGGTAAATAAGGTAGCCCGTCGATCTGAACTACCACTATTTACATAGTAATTGGTAGTTTTACATGCAATAGGTCAGTGAACAAACTGTGAGCATGTCGTCTGAGGTCTAAACTACGGAAAAGTATGCAGCATGTCGAGTTTTAGACTGACAACTGACAGTAACTGCTGTAAAAAATAAGCTCATTCCCCAAGCATGCTCTAGGCATGAGGAATAAATACATTCCTTGAGCTCCATCCCATGGGTTCGTGAACCAGAGAAAATTAGGAGCATAGGGTGAAAGAATCACTAGAAACATGTTTGCTATTGTAACCCCATGATATTGTATTGTTGAAATTTACTCACCAATGATTAATTATGCATTCATGAATTATTTTCAGGCACTGTTTTCGAGGTATGAATATGGTGTGAACATGCACAAAACAGTCACAGGTGTCTTGTGTTGAGTGCTACAAAGCAGATGGCAGTGGATCTAGCTTTTTCATTAAACATGTGGTGAAAGTTACCCAACTATTCAAATCTGCCCTGTAGTTTTTCAGAATGCTCGAAGGAATAACTAAGGGTGAAGCTTAAAAAGCAAGCATGGTAATTATCTAAAAATATAACACATTCACTTTTACAACAACTCACTGTAATTTAAAGTGAAAGGCACACATTTAAAGGGATATTTCACTTTGAAACAAATTTTTTGATATGTTTTAGCTTACCTCAAGGGCATCCAAGATGTAGGTGTCTTTGTTTCCGCAGTATTTTTATTTTGCCGGAAAAGTGATCTCCGCACGTTTACGTCACTCATTGTTTACACAGAGATTTCGGAAGCGTTACCCTTTACTGTGAAGATCTAAACATATTTAGATACACTCTTAGGCCCCGTCCACACTACTGCGTTTTCGTTTAAAAACGAAGAATTAAAACGAATACGATCTCCGTCCACACCAGCGTTTTATCTGCGTATTAGAAACGATCTCCGTCCACAATAAAACGACTGAAAACGCGGATCACGTGACCATTCACCAACACTGGGCATGCGCGCGCCGGTGTAAACTGTGAATGACGAATCAGGGAAGGATACGTCATGACTGATAACACCCAATCATAGAGCCAAGCGTCAGCCTCTGCGTCAGCGTTTCTGAAGTTCTCCGTTTTGTCTCGTCCACACTCAAACGCCCTCCTGATATTCAAAACGCAGCTGCAGCGTTTCTAAACTTCTCCGTTTTAGGTCTTCGTTTTTTCCCGTTTTAGTGTGGACGGGAGATGCAAACGAAGCAAAAGGTCTCCGTTTTTAAACGAAAACGCAGTAGTGTGGACGGGGCCTTAGAAGAAATGGTTCTATTTAGAACCAAAAATGTTTCCATCCCCCGCTTCATATATGGAACTCCATATAGAACCATTTTTTTGGTAAAAGGTTCTATTGGCCAAGTATGGAACCCCAGGGTTCTATATAGAGCCCAGAGGAACCCTTTTTTAAGAGTGTATAGAACCTTTTAGGGGTTCCGAATACGTAGCACTGATAGAACCTTTTAAGGTTCTATATAGAACCTTTTCTTCTAAGAGTGTATACAGGAAATAGCAATGGAAGACGATTTTGATATATCAACAGACAACGTTGAATTTTTTTCGCAACCGCGTGAGAGATCACTTCCGACGCTTTCCGACACATGCCCTCAGATCACTTGGACGTGGCTATGGTTACAAGAGGTAAAAACTATATAAATACTGTTCTTTTTCTCACACAAACCGCTCGTTTCGTGTCTTAGGCCATCAATGTGTTCTTACATTTACGAGTCATTAAATGATGTTTAATTGGACTTCTCTGAGGTAGACCCCATATACCTCCATTATATGACAGACAGACACTAACAGTTTGACCTAGAAATATCAAAATTGAAAATACTGTGGAAACAAAGACACCTACATCTTGGATGACCTTGAGGTAAGCTAAAACATACCAAAAATGTATTTCAAAGTGAACTATCCCCTTAAAATAGGTATAGTACATACATAATCTGTATATACTCTTGCTTCATGCCGCAGATGGTGTTTGCATGTTGATGGAGTGAATCTGACCATGTGTTATTTGTGTTTGCATTCCATTTGTGCCCTCAGCCGTGTGCAGACATGCCTGCGGTAGAAACATGGAGTGTGCGGCCCCCAATACGTGTCGCTGCAAGAATGGATACAGTGGCCCCAACTGCGAAACAGGTCACAAACAAACACGTACTTGTTTATAATACTGTGAATAAAATTGTAGAATAATGTAATTTTGGATTCTCACAGCTATCTGCAGTCCAGCCTGTCTGAACGGAGGAAAATGTGTCGCGCCTGATATATGCGATTGCATGTCAGGCTACCACGGAGAGACCTGTGAGAGCGGTAAGTACTACGTAGATGTGTTCTTTCCTGTGTTGATGTATTTCCTATTAAACAGAAAGTTCGGACTATGGCAGATGACCTTTTGTTTGGCCATGATTGGCTACCTTTATTGCTAGTTGGCAGTCAGGTGGTATTTACAAATTTAGTAGGAGACATCTTTATTTTTCTATGCAGGAAAAAGACTAAACGTTTTACATTTATGTGGGTTAATAGTGTGAAGTAGCATATGAATCTGCAATATGTGCTGTTTGCCCTTTCCATGAAGAGGCAACTGTGCTAAATAATCTGTGCAGCCTTGATGAGTTATGTGTTAGCTGTTTGCTTTGTGTGAAATATGACTGTATTTTGTGTGCATTTGGTCGTATGAATATCCCTGCAGCTCTCTGCAGTTCGCCCTGCCTGTACGGAGGCACCTGTGTGGGTCGAGACACCTGCTCATGTCCCTATGGTTTCGTGGGGCCCAGATGTGAAACCAGTGAGTCCCGATAAATCATGTTTGCTTGGAATTTCATGCGCATGTGGATGTTAAACATAAACTCTTACACCCCTAGTGGTCACAGGAGACATTACGTGTGTTTTGGTTTCAATTACACAGTGGTGTGCAACCGTCACTGTCAAAACGGAGGGAAATGTGCATCACCGGATGAGTGCGAATGTCTGGCGGGGTGGACGGGACCATCGTGCGAGACAGGTGAGAGCGTGTGTGGTTGGCTCCCAGAGGGACCAATCTCTTCTCACTAAATCCATCATATGTGTTTGTGCTGCTTCCTGGTGGCATTTAGCTGTTGTAGAACCTCTATCTGTTCATTTTTCATTCCGTTCTGGCGGCTCAGAGAAAACACCAGCCATTATTTCAGCCTGATGATAACTTCCTTCTCGTCCACCTGAGTAAAAAATGTAGTTTTTGTGCTACACATTAATAACATTTTACAAAAAACAATATACATCAACTCAGACTCTCCTAATAAAGCAAAAAGGTGAAGCAATATATGTGTAGGTAAGTGTTTTAAGAACAACACAAACATTGCTTATTGGTGCATAAATGAATTGGCAATGTTTAAAGGAGTAGTTCACTTAAAAAAAAAAAAAAAAAACTTTTGGTGATAATTTACTCACCCCCATGCCATCCAAGATATCCATGTCATTCTTTCTTCAGTCGAAAATAAATTAAGGTTTTTGATGAAAACATTCTAGGATTTTTGTCCACATAATGGACTTCAATGGGAACCAAATGGTTCAAGGTCCAGAAGATTTTGGAGTTTCAGTTCAAAAAACACCTATCCTGGAACTAGCTACTGAATAAACGATATTGTAGCATAGCATGTATAATTTCAATGTAATAATTTCAAAACTTTTTTAAAAGTGAAAAATAATAACTTTCCTTTTTTTAATCATTAGTAAGTCAGTTTTAGTCTCTTTGAAGATCTAAATCATAGTTTTTCAACAGCAGAGATGTGATGTTGACCACACAAACACTCACAATTGTGAGATCTGATCAGAAAACAATTGCTTGGGTTTCATTTATGTCTTATTTAAAGGGTTAGTTCACCCAAAAATGAAAATTCTGTCAGTATTTACTCACCCACATGTTGTTCCAAACCTCTATGTGTTTATTTGTTCTGCTGAACACAAAGGAAGATATTTGGAAGAATGTTTTAATCAAACAGATCTCATTCCCCATGGTAGTCAATGGGGAATGAGATCTGTTTGATTAAAACATACTCCCAAATATCTTCCTTTGTGTTCAGCAGAACAAATAAACACATAGAGGTTTGGAACAACATGAGGGTGAGTAAATACTGACAGAATTTTCATTTTTGGGTGAACTAACCCTTTAATAAATGTGTTTGTCTTTAGCTCTGTGTGAGCCCATTTGTCTCAACGGTGGAACCTGTGTACGGCCGAACTCCTGCACCTGTCAACCTGGTTTCTACGGGGCTCGTTGTCAAAACGGTAACGGCTTTTCTTTTTAAATCAACTTTCCTGAAGCATTGCCTTATTTTTGACAGCTTACAGAGGCCAGATATCAATTTCTTAACAGCGTAGGTGTGAACCATGACTATTGCACTTTAAAACTATAAAATGGAGCAGGCCTAAAATCCATTTGGAAGTCTTTCGCTCATGTCATAGCCTTAGATTCAGGATGTTTGATGTGTATACATCGATTCCTTCATAGCAGCTCCATGTGGTGAGGAATGATTCGCTTAATGGCTTGAAACAGTCGTCTGGTAAAGATGTTTTTGATAATAGGGAATGACTCTAAAGTCTGGGTTGCTTCAATTTTGGTGAATTGTAAAGCTTTTAGAGTGCGTTTTCATGGTCATGTCAGACGTATCCATCATATGTTCAAAGAACACAGGTCTGATATTAACTCATCAAATCTCGGACGTCTTCTCTTTCGTTCAGCCGTGTGCAGTCCACCTTGCAAGAACGGCGGTCACTGTGTACGAAACAACGTCTGCTCGTGTGTGGAGGGATATTCAGGGATCCACTGCGAGAAAAGTAAGTGCTGTTTTCCTGACATGTTTACGAAGGACTTCTATCCAAGCCGAGACTGGTAGGATCAGGTGTCGGGTCAGTTTCCAACCAATGAATGGGAGTGAAATCAAAGCATATGGAAGATTAGCATAGAGTTGTTTTGTTGATTAAAATGGCGCTGTGCAAAGATCAGACATCACTTGAAGAGTTTACATAAGGCCTGTCTGATCGAGGAGGAAAAGAGATGAATCTGAGCAAAGATAGTGAGTTATTTAACTGTGAGAATTATGAAAAATATGGGATCAGGACTAAATTAAATAACTCGTTATATGAATATTCCAATTAAATGGAATTATGTTGAGGTCAAGTGTAAAATAAAATCCAAATATATTTATATCAGTAAACGGTAGATTAATTTTTTACATTTAAATACAGAGGGAATAAAGAACTTTATAATAATAAGGTAAATAATTACATTTATTAGGTAGACAATGTTAAATAAATAAAAATAACATGATTCATTTATTAAGCTATTGATTCAAAAAATATTATTTTTATATATTATTGCTGTTATAGTTATGGTATTATTAATAAAAAATATAGAATTGAAGAACTGTATAACTTGTTAATAAGTGATAAATAATTTAAATAATAAAGTATTCAATTATTTTTTTTAAAGTATCATTTATTACAATAACTGTTATTATTTCTGTTATTATACCGTAACTTATTATTCACTTAATAAGTATTTATAATAATAATAAGACGGATTTTAAAAAAAAGCATAATCAATGAACAATTTAGTAATGATAAAAGGTTAAAAAGTAATACTATTATTAATAATATTATCAAAACATTTTCTATTATTTTTTTTTATTATTTAACACAACAACTGTTTCTATTTTTATTTTTTTATTCAGTATTGTATTATTGCTTACAGAGTTTTAAATTATTATTTCAGCCACATTTTCAACCAATCAAACTCTAAATTATCGGACTGCAAAAATGTACCTGTATTTACTTACTTTACCCTGTTGGTCTGAATAAATCCAAAGCTTTACCTTATTCCCATTCCTCCACAGGTGTGTGTGAGCCAGTGTGTATGAACGGAGGGCGATGCGTCGGACCAGATGTGTGCGACTGCGCATCAGGCTGGAGGGGAAAGAGATGTGATAAACGTGAGTACCAAACCTAATCGTGAAAAAGACCTTGAAGTGACCTCCTTACCTCATGTTAACAAATGTTAAAGTGTGAAGAATTCCAGGTTACCTCTGACCCCACTGGTTTGAGCCTTGTTTCTCTATTTGTTTCTGTTCCGCCAGCTGTTTGTCTGCAGAAGTGTTTAAACGGAGGTGAATGTGTGGGGCCGAACACCTGTCACTGTGGTCCCGGCTGGAGGGGGAGTCTCTGCCAAATCCGTAAGTGATTCCTATCCCAAATGTAATCGTCTCACCACAACAAGCACACTCAAAAGACTCGCTCGAGTTCTCTGTAAAATAATCTAAATAGCATCTCTTCCGTTCCTGTGCTCTGCGGTTGTTGGTGATATGTTTGTTGATTAACGGACAGATCATCTGTGTTTCGCAGGGAAGTGGGAATTCATATCTACTGCTGAAAGTAAAGCGCGATGAATGATGCTCTCATGAGGGTATAGATCGGGGAGTTTGAAATGGCTTTTCCTTGAGCTTGACCTGCGTTATTGAAGGAATAGTTCATTCAAAATGACTAGATATAACTTCCATTTTGGTTCTGTTTGGAGTATTTGGCCTTTGTAAAGTTTCAGGAGGGACAAATCCATTTAAATACGGAAGTGAATCCCCTAAATTATCGTTCCGGGTGTGTTGAACATTTTGGCGTTCTCATATGTTTGATATCCACTACTTTTGACAAAAATAATATTACAGCAACCAAAGAATCATTATGTTCTGTAATGTTAACTAAACCTGCAGTGTTTGGATAGCTTCTTCACAAAACGCACTCTCGAAGTGTTGCCATGTCCACTTATTATATGCTTTTTGGGCTTGTTGTTTGGTCCTTAAAGCGATCAAGTTTATGGAGATATTAAAGTGGGTAGGTGTGGGTCACAATATCCTGGTCTTGGATTAATCTCGGGTTTATGGCTTGTTCTTGTTCGTGATTTTTTCTAGCTGGATCTGGCAACAAAAATGAGTCAAAGTTCCGTACACACTACGTTGAGTTTTTGTAAATGCTTTTTTCACAACAGAGTTAATTTGCTGGTAGAATAAGGTTGTCAATCTCGTGAATTACCGAACTGTGTGTGAACAGAACAGGATTAGGCACTGAAAGGTGAACTAACATTAAAATTAAGGTGTTTTTTCCCTCCAGCATTTGTTTGGATCTTTAAAACTACACTATTAAATAAATGGTTAATGTTAGTTTTCCCCCAAGTGATAAAGGCATTGCTTATGCCCGCTGTAATCTTTGAAAAAGAATTCGAAGCTTCTTTGATCAAAATGTTGTCTTGTTCATGAAACTTACCCACATTCAAGTGAATAAAATGGGTTCTTAAGTTTTAAAATCAGAGGGTCTGTTCTGATTTCTTGCAAGATATTCATAAAACTAAATATTCTTGGGGCCATTGAATGTTCGTGAAAATGATCAAAAGAGCTACTGGGGAAAGGGTTAATAAATAAAATGTAAAAAAATTCTTTAGGAAAAACACGCACTAAGTAATTATTATCATTTAGACCAGGAATATTTAAATATTGATAATATATAATAAATATAGATTTTTTTTTTCATTCCAGTATCAATTCTGCCATCAAATGTGCACATTCCATCATTTTCCATGAACTAACCTTACAAATTGACAATGTGACTTACACTTGCAAAGTAATGAATCAACCATCAAAAATGTATCTACGACTTAAAATATAACTTGATAAACTTTTTTTACAGCAATCTGTGAACAGAGGTGTTTGTATGGAAGCCGATGTGTCCGACCAAATGTGTGCGCTTGTAGAAGTGGCTTCATGGGAACTCTTTGCTCTAGAAAGGTAATTATAAATAAATATATGTTTGTTTGGTTTTTTTTTCTTTAGAAAAACATGCATATAAACACTCTCTTAATAATTTAGTTTCCAAAATCATGGTAGAAGAACCATTTTTGGTTCCTCAAAGAACCATCAGAACCTTTCCTTTCTCAGTGTGAAGGACGTTTTAACAATTTAATAAATCTTTTTTTTTTCTTTTTTTCACACTATAAATAAGTTTTTGTGCAATGGAAAAGCTCGAATGGATGTTTAAAGCTTTTCATGGAAAAATGAATAACTTTTATTTTTTAAGAGTTTCTAATTATTTTACAGCTTCCTGTCCAGAGAGGATGAGGAAATGACACGAGGTGTTATTGCTGCACTGAAGACACTGGGCCCATATTTCACTACTTATTAACCTGACAGGGTTACAATATCATTTTCAATTTGTAAATATCATATCTGAAAATATTAATTTATGTATAAGGTATAATATAATGTTTTTTCACGCTTTTCAAACGTTACTATATTTGTGGAAATGATTCCTGAAATAAATGCGTGTATTTCACTACACTTTTTTTGGGCTCGTTTGACTTCTTTCTAACATCCACTCACATTTATACAATTCCGTTAAGTGATGCGGAAATGACACGCTTCACCTCTAAGTTAAGTTTGACAGAAAAACGATCTCTCTTGTTATTCAAGCCAAGGCACAGACAATTTAGCATCCTCTGCTATCCTTCCTCTGACTATGTGGCCTGAAACTCAGTTGCACTCTATTTCTCTGAGGACGTCCCCTTTAATGTGACTGGAATGTTAAAAAAAAACACATAAACATGCTGTTTGTCACGCCTGGCTGAGCGTGCAGTGGCTCCAGTTTTTCCGCAAATACAAATAGGCATCTCGGTGACAACACAAACAAGCATCTGAACTAATTAACGTTCATTGATGGTGGCCATTAATGAGCCAGTCATAGATAGTTCCTCTCATGCATAGCTAATAATCCAGCTGTTCGTATACGATTACCTGAGGTGCGCAAAAAAGGACGGTAAACATTAAACAACTCGCTGTTGTTTAACGCTTTCAAACTGTGGTTTGAAAGGGTTACAAGGTGGCCGATTAGTGTTTGATTGATTGAGTATGAATAACTATAAAGCACAGACTACCGTTCAAATGTTGGCTGTATTTTTGAAAGACAATATTTCAGTGAGGATGCATTAAATTGCTCAAATGGGGGGGGTTAGGGGGACATGCATCAAGGTTTCCAGAAAAAAATATTAAGCAAAACAACTGTTTTCAACATAAGCAATGTTTCTTGAGCAGCAAAACAGCATTTTAGAATGATTTCTGAAGGGTCATGTGACACTGAAGACTGGAGTAATGATGCTGATTATTTTTATTTATTTATTTATTTATTTTTTTTTTACGGAGCCCCTAAAGGGCCATATGGTGGGAAAACAAATTTTAATGGTAGGGGAAAAAAATATACGTCACTGCTCTTTTCATTTTCTTGCAAAAGTTTTGTGTTCCACAGAGAAACTTTTTGCCAAAGTTTTTGCAAGGGAACTCAAAGGTTTTGTAAACGAATTCAAAGGGAACGTCTCAGAGGAACCCAAAAGCATTAAAGGGTCACTTCACCCATTTGCACTAAGCTTTGTATCTTTAGAAACCCAGTCATATTTTTGAATGGTCATGGTTTATTCCCTTATTTTCCCCTGAGATGGGAGGAATAAGGATTTAAGTGTTTTATTTCCAGCTTATCGTGACGTAAAAATCGTCATTTTGCGTCACGATAAGCAGGAAGTCACATTTCATTGAAATGTCAACAGACTACAATGATTAGCTCATTATTATTCAAGGGTGTGGCACCCACTCACCCACAGGCCTATTACAGATCAGTGGGTGGGACTTCACTTGCAGAACCTGAAATCAATATCCGCCATCTTGTTTGGAAGCTAGCTAAGCTAACAAGCCCTGTGGAGATATGAAGTTATGATAATGGAAGAAACTAAACATGATATGGAAGAAGAGGGTTTTTGAAAGTCTGCTGCTTGAATCCGATGTTCGTGGCTATCTTTACGAGCTGCGGTATAGTTTAGTGCAGCTGAGGCTGATGGAGGAGCAGGAGACGCCCGGACTGGGTCGAGCTCGGCGGCCTGCTGTTGCCTGTACTCTCGCTGCGTGTCACGGCCTACGGACACAGAGTCCGTCTGCTGCAGAGAATTTCAACGATGGCAATTTCTCCTGGAGGAAATCTCTAAATCAGATGAGCACACGGACGTTTGTGTTGTGATAGTTTCGCCTTCAGAACATCCAGGTATCATGCAGTAATTCACCATACAGAAATGAATACAAACGCGGAGTAATTCACTAACGTTAATGTGTTTACAAATGTAACGTGAACGGGGTTTAATGTTGTGGGAAGAAAGAGGCATGAACCGGCGAACATTTAAACATTTTAATAGTAAAATGAACAAATACAAAACGAAAGTAAGCCAGCGTTACACACAACAAAAACAAAACATAAAATCAGGCCTGTTTCTCTCTCGATCTGCCGTCGTCGCTCCCCATTTTATGCATTCGCTCCTTCAATTCGTGAGAGACGCACCGGCGCGCGCCTCACAGGTGTCTTTCATTATCACTCACGCCACCGGCCTCGCGCAGCGCGCCGTCCTCTTACATCCCTCGCCCTCGATCGTCCTGTTCGCCACAGCCAACTAACTAGACATTTTGTTTGAAATGAATTTCAAACTCTCACTCTGGTAACAGCTAATGTTAGCGTTGTAGACGGAAGAGTGTGTTTGCGTCTCTGTTTGCGCTGTTCCGGTGGGTGGGTTAGTGGGTGTGTCTTGCATACAGTAAGAAAACATACAGCATTGTAAAGACTACTCGTTTTAAGCTGCGTAAAATTCAGTATGGCCTCTAACCTGACTGTTAGAGTAGCTAAAGTTATGACAGAATTTTCATTTTTGGTCATGGTCCCTTAAAGGTCTGCCTGTCGTCCAGCACAGGGCTTTCGACTTTTACGAAGTATTACAGAAAGTCATTGGGGATTTTCAGATAACTCCTCAATTAAAGACATTTAAAAAATCCTGCACGTTAAGATAATGCAACAAGTTCACAACTTTAGGCACCTTAGTTATTGTGTCCGCCCGTGTGTGTGACTGAGAGTATGTGTTTCCACAGAGAGGCGTTCTTCCCTGTCTCGTACCTCCCGTTAAGATGGCATGACAAAGAATTTCATCATCTCACTGTCAGACTTACTGCCACAGGTGGCGTGAACTTCTACAGGGTGGGAATAGGAACACGAGGATTATGGGCAAAACGGAAACCTGGATTTTAATCGTAATACTTTTGACTCCATCAAGGAAAGTCAATTACTGACAAACGCCGGCGGCAGACACTTCCATAGAGTTAGTCCAAACCGGGGGTTTGTGGACAAAAGCCCATATTAATAAGCTGCCATTGGTCGCTGCCCCAAAATCAACGCTGACTCTTGGGCCCTCCCCGAAGGACACACCAAAAGCGCCGGGCCCAAGAGTCAGCGTCGAATTTGGGGCCCCTGGGACATTTCTGTAAAAATACCACTCGCCCATTAAATGAATGTATTTTGCCATAGTGGTTTCGTGGACACCGCTTCGCAATAACCTATCGACTAGGGGGCGCCGTTTTCCTTCTCGCCACGGTCCCCCGGGGCGGGTGGAATAGTTTGGGGGCCCTCGGACCTCGTTCAGTGGTCGAAAGGCCGAAAAAGGGACGCTCGTCCGCAAAACCGCTACGAAATAAGTGGTCTGTGGGATGGCCCCCGTACGGGGATACAGGGTCGTGGCACATTGAGATTTGAGGTGGGGGAGGTGAAATTTTAGTTTCTCTGATCTTCTTGAAACTCTGGATTCTGAAAGAGGACCATGGGACTTAGACCTGAGTGCAAAAATGGAGGCTCTAGACCCTTCTAGAGCTGAGATATTGAGTTATTTATAATGGCATAAATGCTACGTGGGATCTCAATATCTGAGCTCCGGAAGGGTCTAGAGCCTCCATTTTTGCACTCAGGTCTAAGTCCCATGGCTCTCTATCAGAATCCAGAGTTTCAAGAAGATCAGAGAAACTCAAAATTTCGACTGGCATAAATGCTACGTGGGATCTCAATATCTCAATATCTAAGTCCCATTAGCCTGCGGTTCAACCAGACTCTAGTACATTTCATTTGTACATAGAGTCTGGCCTCTCTCCATTGAGAAACGTTTACTTCCTTTTAGGTGGGTTTACTATTAAAGTTCAAAACTATTGGATTTGCCCAGAGTCACTCAAAATCTGCCATAGCCAATCGCTAACGTGTGGTCGTGAGTGACGTATGTCATGCGCTGAAACGGCTGAAAACAACAAGTCCGAATGATCAGAGGATTATGTTTACAATAGGATTTCAGTCAACGAGACCTGCAGGTTTTGTTAATTTAGGAACAATTATTAATTCGAAATGTATATTTGACATGAAGGACAGTGATGTATTCATTCTACAGTTGCAGCTGTGTCTAATCATTAAAAATACGCCGCTGCGGTCGTTTTCTGATCTGCCGCAAATGCTGTACAGTGAATGATCAGTTTGTCTCTATCTGCAGATGTGTAATAAACAACAATTTTTCATATTACGTCTTATTGTTTCTTAATTACCTTAATTATGGTCTTCAAAGTATGTGTTTGTACATTTTTATATGGTATTTAGTTTTTTTTATTAAAGCAAATTAACCAATTGCCATCTAAAACTGAAAATCAAATATAGTCTTCAAAGTATGGGTTTTCACATTTTTATTTATGACAATTATTTTTTTTTTAAATCACAACCAATTTGTATGATTTACAACATGTAAAACGGACACACCAACCTCCTGCACGAGTACACAAAGGGGCTCAAAATGTTCTATTCATCACAAGAATCAGTAAATTTCCTGTTGGGAATATGAGCGACTGACATGACTCCTGAGCGGATCTTCAACAACAGTTTAGCAGCCAGGACTCGGGGCTTCCGAACACCAGGCTAAACCGTCCATCCAAAATGTCACGGTCATCGTGCACGCCGAGCTGCCCAGCACAAACTTCCAACCTTTCTGCCTTCTTCACTTGGTCCTCCGTTGTCCAACAAGAGGTGAGACGATAACAATCCGGCTTTAAATTCTGTATAGAGGGCCATGGGACTTAGACCTGAGTGCCAAAATGGAGGCTCTAGACCCTTCCAGAGCTGAGATATTGAGTTATTTATAATGGCATAAATGCTATGTGGGATCTCAATATCTCAGTTCTGGAAGGGTCTAGACTAGAGCCTCCATTTTTGCACTCAGGTCTAAGTCCCATGGCCCTCTATCAGAATCCAGAGTTTCAAGAAGATAAGAGAAACTCAAAATTTCAACCCAAAAAAAAAAAAAAAACGACAGTGGTACCCCTTTAGTTTTCTTTTTGGTGCGAAAAAAAAAACGTTTTTCCAATCTTTTTGAAACTCTGGATTCTGATAGAGGGCCATGAGACTTATACCTGAGTGCAAAAATGGAGGCTAGTCTAGACCCTTCCAGATCTCAGATATTGAGTTATTTATAATGGCATAATTGCTACGTGGAATCTCAATATCTCAGCTCTGGAAGGGTCTAGAGCCTCCATTTTTGCACTCAGGTCTAAGTCCCATGGCCCTCTATCAGAATCCAGAGTTTCAAGAAGATCAGAGAAACAGAGATTCATCAAACCCTTCTGTCACAAGTCTTGCTGTGTGTGTTGGTGCATGATCATGCTGATACACGGTTTGAGCATCAGGTGCTCATGATCCTCCAGAAGGGTTTGGTAGTCCTCGGCAGGATTGTCATGATATTGGAGCTCAAACCATCACTGATCCACCCGTGCTTCACTCTGAAGATTGGCCGCCAGGCATATAGATGTGAAACCTCCAACATTGGCCAGTGTTTCAGTTTCATTGTCCAACCCCTCTAAGTAAGTAAAGTAAAAGTTTATTTGTATAGCACCTTTCACAGGTATAGGGCCACAAAGTGCTTCACAACAAAAAACAATTTATATAAAATACACACAATAAAAGCATAGACAGTACATGATCACAAACTCTGGATTCTGATAGAGGGCCATGGGACTTACACCTGAGTGCAAAAATGGAGGCTCTGGACCCTTCCAGAGCTGAGATATTGAGTTATTTATAATGGCATAAATGTAAGTAAGTACAGGGGTTGGACAATGAAACTGAAACACCTGGTTTTACAACACAATAATTTCTTAGAATGGTGAGGTCCTCATTTTGCATCCAAATACAGCACCAATTGACAGATAGAAGTCCTTCACAGTGACCAGAGGGATTATGAACCGTTCCTCTTCCAGAACAGTGTCCAGGTCACTGTATGATGCTGGTGGACTCGCTCCTCCAAAACACCTCAATAATATTCAGATCTGGTGACTGTGCAGACCATGGGAGATGTTCAACGTCACTTTCATCTTCATCAAAACCCTTCTGTCACAAGTCTTGCTGTGTGTGTTGGTGCATGATCATGCTGATACACGGTTTGAGCATCAGGTGCTCGTGATCCTCCAGAAGGTTTTGGTAGTCCTCGGCAGTGTCGTGTCCATCAAATACAATCAGGATTGTCATGATATTAGAGCTCAAACCATCACTGATCCACCCGTGCTTCACTCTGAAGATTGGCCGCCAGGTATATAGATGTGAAACCTCCAACATTGGCCAGTGGTTCAGTTTCATTGTCCAACCCCTGTAAGTAAGTAAAGTAAAAGTTTATTGATATAGCACCTCTCACAGGTATAGGGCCACAAAGTGCTTCACAACAAAAAACAATTTATATAAAATACACACAATAAAAGCATAGAGAGTACATGATCACATCAACCCACAAATAGCTAATTGAAAGCCTGAACAAATAAATGTGTCTTTAGTCTGCAAATGCTACGTGGGATCTCAATATCTCAGCTCTGGAAGGGTCTAGAGCCTCCATTTTTACACTCAGTTCTAAGTCCCATGGCCCTCTATCAGAATCCAGAGTTTCAAGAAGATCAGAAAAACTCAAAATTTCAACCCTTCCAGTGCTGAGATATTGAGGTATTTATAATGGCATAAATGCTACGTGGGATCTCAATATCTCAGCTCTGGAAGGGTCTAGAGCCTCCATTTTTGCACTCAGATCTAAGTCTCATGGCCCTCTTTCAGAATCCAGAGTTTTGAGAAGATTAGAGAAACTTATTTTTTGCACCGAGAAAAAAAAAGAGACAGGTTGCACATTTCACTATCTCTATCAATAATTTCTGAACATTAAATCTCAGAGTTTATTCACCCTGTTACGTGCCCAAAGAACTGGTACAGATAAGATGGCTTCCGTAACCATTCCAGCAGCTGATTGGTGATTCAACTGCTGATTGGATCTTGGAACTCCTCCTACTCGTCAG